CTTCCTTCCTTCCTTCCTTCCTTCCTTCCTTCCTTCCTTCCTTCTTCCTTCCAGCCTTGTGCATGCTAAGCAGGCATTCAATCACTGAGCTTTATCCCCAGCACCATCCCCCCGCCATTTTTTTCTTTTAGAGGGGAAAATGTAGAGAAAAAACATGCTGGCTCTTGGTGGTGAGGCTCATATGACAAGGTCACATTTTTGGGGGTGTGTAAGGGGAGGTGTTTTTGTCATCAGCAGTTTCTCAGGCTAGGGAGCACAGGGCAGGAGGAGGACAACTAAATGAATATGTTCCCAGCCTGCACGTGAACAAGTTAGTGACCCACAAAACTGACAGGAGACAAGAGTTTGAGATTCCCTCCTTTAAAAAACCAAGATAAAGAAAGGGATGGGGTATCAAATCAGGGCTTCCTGTCCCACTGAGATTCCAACTCTGAGGGCCTTGGGTTTTATCTCTTCCATCCTGACACTGCCAGGGTACTGGGGTCTAAAATAGTTCCCCCTTCTCCCCTTTGACAGTGAAGCAAGTGAGCTGGAAGCACTGAAATTTACCTATCAACAATTTGAGGAGCTGGGGATTTAGCTCAGTGGCAAAGTGCCTGCCTGGCAAGCGCAAGGTCGTGAGTTCGATTCCTAGTACCGGAAAAAAACCAAAAAACCAAAAAAACAAACAAACAAAAAAAACAATTTGAGAATTCTCCCTGCTCGGAGGTGCTACCTATTGGGATATCAGCTGGTAAAACCAGAAGAGATGAACGGGAAGGGAGGGATGTGACTGGAGGAAGGAAGGAAAGGGGAGACAGAGACGATGAAAGAGGTGGAGGAAAAGTGCAGAGCTCCAGAAAAGCGTATTAGAGCTGCAGCCTGCTCTGCCTCTCTATCCCTGGAAATCTAGAACACGACAAGTGAGGCCTTAGTGGCCTTTGGGCAGGGCCTAGGCTTGGCAGGCAGGCACCAGGCAGGGTCCTTTGGGGAAATGACCCTGGTGAACAGAAAAAGAAGGAGCATAAGATCCTGAACAATGCACACCTGTGCTTGGAAAAATATGGTCAGCTTCTACCACCTGCTGTGCTTCTCATGGTACTGTGTGTTGTTAACTCCTGGAAATGCCCTCTATGTGTGAATTTTATGTTTGTGTTTGGATGTCAAAATGGGCTTTGTGATTTCTCTGTCTTTAGAGTACACTCTTGTAATTGCTATTGTTATTTTTATTGTGATAACTGTCCTTAAGCTCTGGTGAAGAAAGCAGGGTCTACAAGGAAAGGTATGAAGTTAATATTTATATCACATTAATTATATCATTACTGTATCTTTGTCTTTCTGTACTAAAGTGACTGTCTCTGTGATCTGGAAAAGGAGAGCCCAGCCCATCTCTTCTGGGGGGCGGGTCACCCTGGATGGTATTTTCTGGCAGAGAGGGAAATGGGTTTAGCAGGGGAAGGAAGGAGTCAGAGAGGGCTTTGTCTATGAAGCTGAGATTGCTCATTAAAATAGAAAAATCCTGTCCTAAGGGCTTGTAAAACTGACCTTTCTGGAACTTCAAGAGGATCTTGAGCAAGAAAAAAAGTGCTGGCAGAGGGCAGCTGGGCACGTAGGCAGCTATGCTCCTTTTCACAACACTTGACATTTGGAATCAAGACACTTAGCCTGGTGCTGTCTGCATCCCAAGCCACATACCAATGTATATTGAGGCCGCCGACCTCATTCCTGGGCTGTGCTGTGGTGTGGGGGCCGCATCTTCTGGAGAGGAGAGGAGGCCCTGAGAATCTGACCTAGTAGGCATGCTGCAACTTTGACAGTGTCTGCTGCCCAAACAGCAGGCTCCTCTGAGCTAAGGGGAGATGGAAAAGCCGTAGGTGAGCAGGACAGACATCACCTCACCTCCAGGGAGGCTGCCCTGGGCCTTTTGCTTGGATGGGCATCTTCACCCACAATACAGCCTAGGGACTTAATAGCTCAGTCATTGGTCCCATCTTATAGCCTGGCGCTGGAGCTGGATGTCTCCTTTCGTATACTGCCTTTTTTACAAACACCTAGGCCAGACAAAACCTAAAGCCCTGTTTCTTACCCTGAGCCATCATCACCACTGACTGAGGCATCATCAGAATACCTGCCTGGCATTGCATTGGCCTGGCAGAGTGTGCAAATATGACTCCCAGAGCCCCCTTCCCCCAGAGGCAGCCCAGTGCCTCTGCTCCCAGCTGTCACTGCCGCTGCTCTGACAACCCCTCCAGCCCAGAAGTCTCCCTGGCCCCACCTGCCCCTCCCACTTCCCATCTTGACTCTATTTCCTGCTCCAGCAATTTCACCCTCTATCTTCCCCGCACAGCTTTCCCCGCTAAGTCTCATACTTCCCCTGGTCTCTGGGCCTTGGCTTCATGATTTCCCAAACAGGTTTAGAGCTGGAAAGGGTTTAGAGTTGAAAGACTATTTGACTGCTTTCAGAATGGGATCCTATGAAATGGTAATCCTTGGAGATCCTTCACAATCTCATGGTTTCTATATCAAATTAGAGCATTTCTGCCCCCCCACCCAGCTGTGTTTGGCCTGCTTGCCTGCCCGGAAGGCCCTGAGAAGTCCTGTAACGGTCTCTCGCTCATCTATATGACTGCTATGTGCTCTAGGAGTCTCCAAAAACATTTGGTCCTCTCTTTTTTCCATGGAGCAGTGAGCACCTCATGTTTCTAATGTTTTGAAGAGTACTTTGGAAAAATGCTGTTTCAAGTTTTTCCCTTAACATATGAATTTGCTAACTCTGCCTCCTAAGCCTGTCAACTCTGGACCCCCCAACCTCCCAGGTGTCAGTCCCATCTTGATTTCCTGTGGCCTTCCCCAGAGTAGGACCTGCTACCCCAGGGACAGGACGGCCAAGCCGCCAGTCTGATGACATTTGGCCCTAGACATTGCCTGGCTTCTAGTTCCTATCCTTTGAAACCCAGCCTGCCTCCTCAGACTCCTCTGGTTCCTCTGGTGCTTGGCATAGTCCTCCATGGGGGCTGGGAAACATCTCACACTGGTGGCTATCCTGCAATCCAAAAGAGTAATTTCTCAAGAAGGGTAGGGGGCAAAATAAGGGAAGAAAACCACCTTTTAGCCTCCTCAAATGGCTTCTCTGCTTCCTTTTCTTTTTTTTTGGTTTTTCTCCGGTACCGGGAACCAAACTCACGACCTTGCGCTTGCCAGGCAGGCGCTTTTGCCGCTGAGCTAAATCCCCAGCCCCTCTGCTTCCTTTTCATTTAGCTAAGCTTGGGTCAAGTCACCCCAGCCACTGGGGGAGTGGGCATATAGCAGGCTCCAGGAGCCTGGCCTGTCTCCAGCCAAGCTGTCCTCTCTTTACATAGCAGAGGTACTAGGCTCTAGAGGACCAGCTCCCATGCCTCTGCCAGCCCAGCAAATAAATGGAGACTTCTCTGGCAACCCCTCTTAGAACTAGTTGCTCAGAAATAGTCCAATTTCTGGGCTAAAGACCCAACCTGACTTAATCCCAGTCTTGAGCTGTAGAAGATTCCATAAGGAGAAAGTTCAACACATACAAAGAACAAATCCCTAGGGTTTTTTAAGATTATAAACTTGGAGAGAAACTCCGAGTGGGCAGGGCTGGGTTTGGACACAGTATCTGATAAGGAGCTTGGGGATTGTTGGACCTCCGCCCTGGTTCCTCTTCTGGACTCACCCACATGTATGGGAGATGAGGAAGGCAGCTGTGGCCCCTTGCCCACTTTCCACTGCCCAGCCCCCAGCCGTCTTTGCCATGCAAGGACCCTGTTCCTTAGAGGCTGCATCCTAATGAAGCCTTTCACTTTCTCCACTAGAGTTTCATGAAGGAAAATCCTGGCCCCTTAGTTGAATCTTTGAAAAAGTCGTTCTACTCTGGGGATAGGAACTGCTACAAAGTGTACAGGGAGGCCTTGTAAGAGATGCTGGATTATCCTCTTGCCAGGCCTTCTGTAATCAGGTAAAAACCTGCATTCGGGGATTTTGCTGATACAAGGATTCAGGTGACCAACATTTCCTTCAGGGAGGAGGATGCCCAGAGTACACCCTAACCCACCAAATGGTGCCTGTTGCATTGCCTTGAGTATCCCACGGAGCAGAGGAGGCCACACAGGCAGACAGCTATCGGATGCCAGGGTTCCTGAATCAACAGGAGCAGACTGCAGGTGTCTGCCATCAAACGGAGGGAATGTACTATTGATACTTGCAGCCAGCACTGGCCTGTTTGGAGGGCAGGGTAGGCTCTACTCTCACAGATGAAGGTATATAAGAATGATGTCTCAGACTAGCAGCTTGCTTTATGGACATGATCTCATCAGGTCACTCTGCACTACCTCCGCCTGGCTGCCCCAGCTGATAAGAATCTGGTGCTATTTCCTGTAGTCCAAGGGTCTCAGACAATGGTGTGAACGGCTGGCCCTACTGGAAAGGACATTGTTCAGGGAAGAAAAAACACCCAGCACAAAGCCAGGGCAGGACTTGTCTAAATGTAAGGGTTTGTTTACAAATCCATGATTTCCAACAGCGGAACACAATGGGGAATTGTTTTGGTGAGGCTGGTGCGTCTCCTCCAGTATAGTTCTGTCTGGCTTTGATGCCCAGACAGATCTCAGATACCCTGAGAGGGATGATCATGGATCCTGCAGATGCCTTCCTGTTTATCAGGGATGTGTTCAGAACAGGGTCAAGAAGCCACTTACACCAAAGACAAAGGGGGAGGGGTTCCTGGGTCTCACCCCTTTCATCTGGGCCTCCTGTTGGCTCACTGCTTAGAGACCCAAGGTTAGAGGAGCTTTGCAAGGGAAAAGTAAGGGCAAATTTTTTTTGTGTGTGAATGCGTGTGTGTGTGTGTGTGTGTGTGTGTGTGTGTATGCACATGTGCACACCCACAAGTGTATGAAAAAATACCAACTCCAACTGCCATGTTACTTTTTGGAAAACATGTACAAGGCTTGAGCCTTTTGCAAATAGCTATATCCTTTAGGGATGGGATTCCCTCTTCTAGTCACTAGGGATATTTCTCACATCTGGGGACTCCCATGGTGCAGTGTTTTACCTCCAGCCAGCCTAGGAGTCCACAGGGATCTGACGCTTATACCTGGGGTGATGGCCAACAGAGGTGCTGTTTTTCATAGCAGTCTCCCCGCAGAGCCCTGGTGTCAGTGTGTGTGTGTGCACGTTGCAGGAGGGCTATATATCATATACTTCCTTTGGAATGGGCAGTCACTAGTTTTGGTGGGGGGACAGGTGGGCTGTGAGAGCCATTTGGGGTCTGGAGAGACTACAAGCAGTCTTGTTTGAAGATCTGACCTGTGACAGAAGTGGCATTGGTAGATTTTATCCTCACCTCTATACCCAACAGAAATGTACCTCATGAATAAACTCTAATGAATGTGTTTAGAACAAGTGAGGAGCAGTAAGAGCCACACAATGTCAGAGCAGAAGCAAGCTTTTCATAAGCCACTCTCAACTTTCCAGAGCTGTTTATAATCCTCTTTGCCAACTTGCTAAAAGTACCCTCTAGTGCCTGGTATGAGAACAACAGGCTTATGAGTACAGAGTACCAGCACATCTATTGGATGTACAGCTGTCCAACTGCCTTTGGATACTGTAGGTTCTGGGCCAGGCAATGATGAGGGGAAGAAAGAATAGCAAGGCAGACAGGTCCTTCCCTGTAAGGGACTTCCAATCTAGCAGGAAAGACAAACCTACAATTGTGTGACTTCCAGAAAATGACGCAGACTAAACAGAAAATAAACAGACACCAGTGAGTGCCAGAGATGAAGGGGCCATTATGCAGAGTTCACCAGGCTGAGGGTAGAAGTTAGCATTCTTCAGGCAGGCCAAGAATTCCAGGACCAGGGCCTAGTATTCAGGGCAGAATGCCCACAGGTGGGGCGCTCTAGGAGGTGCAGCTGTGCAAGGCCCTATTCGCAGAAGGCCACAGATGCCAATCTCAGTGGGACCATCCAGAGTAAAAGGTTAGCATGTTTTATGGCAGGTGGGTGTGTCAGTGGAATGGCCATAGCAGACCACACAGACTGAATACTTCTGCAGCGGTCCTGTGAGGCACAAGAGTCTGAGATGGGCACCGTCAGCAGGAAGGAGAGGAAGGCAAATGTTTGAAAAACATCCAAACTGACCAGAAAAAGGTGGTTACACAGAGAAAGAAGCAGAAGGAAACCCTGAGGTCTCTGGCCTTAGTTTACTGGCAGGAAAGGTAAGAATCAGAGGAAGGAAAGCAGGTGCCCTGGGAAATTTTTTTTAACATTTATTTCTTTTTGTTTTCTTAACTATTTTCAGGGGATGTTTTATTCTTTCATATATAGTAATCTACATTTATTCATGTGCAACAATCTACATTTATTCACATTCAAAAACCTACATTTATTCCTGTACAGAAATCTATATTTATTCAAATACAGTCACATCATCTTTTTTTTTTCTTTTTTTGGTACTGGGGATCAAACAGTACCTTGCACTTGCCGGACAGGCACTGTGCCACTGAGCTGTATCCTTGGACCTTTAACATTTATTTCTATCTTGCCCCAGTGAGCTATTTGTTCTGGGCCCTAAGTTATGAAATATTAATTAATTTTAATAGACATATCCATTATGAAAACAGGCATCTAAAATACAGAAGATGAGCTTGGGGCATCTCATAGTGCCAGATAATAAGGAAGTCCCAAGAACAAAAGAAAACACACAATTACAGGAATGTGTGAAAAAGGGAAAGGAGTAGATGTTAGAACAATCTGAACAACGAAGTAAACATTTTTATATATTTAGTACTGAATTGAAACTCAAAGGGTTATATATGTGCCACATATATGTGGTATGTTTTATATATGTGATTTATATACATATGTGTATATTATATATGTGACTATATACGTGTATATATATATATCCACAAGTGACTCCATACTGATATGAACAAATTATTGAATCAGTAAGTGGCAGGGTATAGATAAGTATCCCATGAAGAAGAATTCCAAATAATTTGTGTTGATAACCCATCCTCAATGAAGAGGGTGCATAAATCCCCACCCCTTAATTGTGGGCTACAGTTAGTCACTCCCTCCAAAACATGCAGTATAGAAACGGAGAAAAAGTAACTTTGTAGTGGAGAAGCCTGACAAAACTCCCTCAGCCAGGTAACCAAAGTTAACCTAAGTAGTCTCAGGTCATATTCACAGTATGTAACTTTGATGTGATGGAGATGGTGCTGTACTTCTGTGTCTTCCTCCCCAAAGCCCATAATCCCAGTCTGAGAAATCCCAGTCATGAGAAAAACATCCCAGTCATGAGAAAAACATCAGACAAATCCCAATCAAGGGCCACTCCACAACATACCTGATAAGTATTCCTCAAAACTTTCAAAATCATCACAAACAGGGAAAGTCTGATAGACTGTCACAGCCAAGAGGAACCTAAAGAGACAGGATGACTCAATGCAAGTAGTATCCTTTATGGGATCCTGCAACAGAAAAAAATTAGGTAAAAACTAAGAAAATCTGAATAAAGTATGGCTTTTGTTAATAATTATGTATTAATAGTCATTCATTAGTTATGGCAAATTTACCGTAGTAATGTAGGATATTAATAATAGGAGAAATTGGGTTTGGCATAAATGTGATTCTAACCTATCTTCACAATTTTTTCTGTATAACTATTCTGAAATTAAAAGTTTATTTAGGGCCAGGTGCAGTGATGCACGCCTGTAATCCCAGCACCTGAGAGGCTGAGGCAGGAGGATCATTGCAAGTTTGAGACCAGCCTGGGCTGGGCTACAAAGTGAGCTCAAGGCCAGCCTGAACTGCATAGTGAGACCCTGTCTCAAAAAGACAAAATAAACAAATAAATAAATTTTAAAAAATTTATTTAGGAAAAATTCAGTTATTTAATGCAAAATAATTGATTAGACCCAGAGGAAGAACAGAATATTTCAAAGTTGGACTTTCCAGCTTACAAGAATGGGGTTGGATATTGGTATCAATAGAAAGTAAAATTATAAAGAAGAAATGGTTAATGGTATGCATGTGTGTGCACATGCAGGTGCAATGCCTGCTAGCGAGCAGGTACCCATAAGGCCAACTGCACACAGAAGTAGAGCAGCTGAATGTCTAGGTGATAGAAGCCCTCCTCCACTCCTGCCACAAGCTCTGCCTTCCACCCAGTGAAGCCGGAGTTGAGAGTGCGTTGTTGGAGGCCATTACTTTTGGGTAAGATGATGTTTCTTGCATTTGGGAAATACACAAAAGGACTTCTGTAAAGGAAAGATATTACCACAGATCTCTAACAATGTGCTTGGTGACTTCAGTTATAGTAACTGCAGGTTAAGAAACTAGTCTGTCTTAATCTAGGAAGAGTTTTAAGTTGTAAATGATCACTATAGCAGTTTTATCCACAGAATGGGTAGAATATTGCTTTTAAAATGAAAATTCAGAATTAAAAAATCCTCTTGTCACTTGCAGGCCTCTGACAAAATCTTGGATGCTCGGGTTAGGAACCCTAACACTAAATGCTCAAACCCATGAGACAGTACACGAAGAAAGGGAGTATAAGATAGGTGTGGTGAAGCACACTTGTGATCCCAGCACTCTGAGAGGCTGAAATGGGATGACTACCAGTTTGAGCCCAGCCTGGGAAACACAGTAACTTGATGAGACTCTGACTCAAAATAAAAAAAGGACTGGGGATATTGCTCAGTGGAAATGCCCTGGGTCCAAAGCAGACATACAAAAAAGAGAGAGAAAGAAAAGGAGAGGAAGACAGACAGACAGACAGACAGACAGGCAAAGAAAGACAAGCCAGCCACAGCCAGGTATAATGATGCATGTCTGTAACCCCAGTGCTCAGGAGGCTGAGGTAGGAGGATCGCTGGAGTTTGAGACTAGTCTGGGCTACATAGAGTTCAAGACCAGCTTTAATTACATAGCGAGACCTTGCCTCCAAAAACAATGACTCAGTGAAACCCTGAGAATAAGTATACACAGTTCTGAGTTTCCTCCACTAATCTGAAACCCAGGAAATCTTTTAAAACATACAAATGTAAGATAAGGTCTATTCAATTTCTCCCTAGGCTTCTTGCCAGATTCCCATCCTAGCTGCCTTGCCTAATGTGAATGTTCTGGCATGCAAATTTGTAATTCTACTGTGAACAGAAATGCTCAGGCAACCCAGCAGCGAAAGTTTGAGTGATTCACTTCTGCTGTAGAGGTGTGTTAAGATCGTAATGGCCTAGAGTAAGTGGAGTCCCTTCTGCTTCACATGGGCATGGCTCTGCAACATGGGCCTTTCTCGGCTACTGTAGACTGCTATGCTGGTGCACTTCCCAGATGAGAACCTGTGCACTTACTGCACGGTGATATGAATCTCCGCCCCTGGAATGCCAGCTTTCCTGCAAACTGATTCCCTCCCAAATACATCTATGTCCAAGTTGATAGTTATACATTAATTTACTGAATTTTGTGGATTAGAAAGAAGCGTGAGTTCTTTTATTCCCTCATTCTGCTCTCCAAATTCTTTAGTATGGTAGACAAATGCCAGAGTGAATTAGTAAGACATCAGTGGAGAGAAAAACCTTTATTTGCATAATAGTAAACATGAGTGGAGTAGGAGAGGCATGTGAGAACCAGATGAAGGTGGAAAAATCTGGGTGGAAGAAGAGAAGAATGAATTAGGGAGAAAGAGCACAGGCATTCTCATAGCCACAGACATGCTCAGCTGTTGGCATCTGGACTCTGCTCTCTCGTCATGAGCCCCTGGGACTTCTTCTTCTTGGCTCATAATCTCAGTGCTAGCCCCTTTTCCTTGTCTCACTGGACCAAAGTGCTCCTTCCCTTAAACCTGATGGAGCAGTGCTGCCTCACACCCAGTGTATGCTTGGCAGAAACTACTCAGAAGCTGTTACTTGGATTTTTTGCAGCTCTTAGTGGTTCTGACACACTTGGACTATCAGGAATGGCCACTTCTGCTACCAGAGGACTCTGGATTTTCTAATAAGGAAGTTCCTGGCCAATTGGTCCAAGAAGGGTCTGGATTCTCTTCCAGGCTGGTGTCTCTGCAGAAATGCTCCTGGGGGTGTAAGGTGCTGCTGCAGGAGGGGATGTCACTTGAATTTTCAGATACGTAGTCTGTAGTGAAAAAAAGGTGAGGAAGGAAACAACCTTTTGTTTCATTCAGGTGCAGGTCCTTAGGCCCCTCCCTAGCCACCTTCCTTCCAAAGCTAAAGTCTTCACCACAAGTCCCCTTTTGATGGTATGCCTTCCTCCGTTCTCAGGCACCACAGCCCCCAGCCCCACCCTCGTTCTTAGGCCAGGGCATCCCTCCAGTCCCACCTGTGGGTGAAGCAGAGAATGAACATTCTTCACACTCCCATTTCTTGGTGTTGGATCGAAGAAAGGAGCAGTCCCTATGGGTTCCCTGTGATCCACATGTAGCACACAGAATGAGGCGCCACCTCCTACAGGAAGATCCAAAGAAGGATGTAGATACAAACAGCACAAACTGTCACTCTGGGGTATTTGCGATGGGCCAGCCTCACCTACGGTGAGGGCTTCCCAGACATTTTTTACTATAAATTTTACCCGTAACAGATGTGTAGCTTAGAGAGACTGAGTGCTGATCTCAGGAGCCTGCAGGCAAGCATAGTCCCTCACAAAGTGGATTTGAAAAGAAATTGGCTCTAAGCCTCTCTCCACTGGGAAAAAGCACCACACCTTGGAGAGGAGATCTGTCTACTTGAAAATGGGTAAGTAAGGGGTTGGTCCAGAATGGAACTTAGCACTGGACATGGTAGTGCACTGGCTATAATCCCAGCTACTCAGGAGACTGAGACAGGTGCATTGCAAATTTGAGACCAACCTGGGCAACTTAGTAACACCCTGTTTCAAAATAAAATTTTTAAAAAAGGACCGGGGCTGTAGCTAAGTGGCAGAACACTTTGCTTAACATGCAGAGCCCAAAACCTCCCCGAAAGGGACTTAGCACTTGTGTTCACCCTGAGGTTTACAAACAAGAGTGAGCTTCTATCTCCTAACAACTGTGCCAAGGTCTAACTCTATAAATACTGAAAGCTCTTTCCAGCTAGGAGCTTTTCCCTACCCTTCATCCTCAAAGCTGTCTCTGCCTTGTTGATACAAACAGGTGGGGGCATCACAATGCTGATAGCGCTGGTACAACTCTGAGAAAGCCCCTGGCTCGAGTTCCCAGGCAGCATCTCTGCAGTGGGAGAAGAAATAATCAGTAAGGGACATATAATTGGCTGGTGAAGTATTTGCCCACCAGGCAGGAACCAAGATAAGCACAGAAAGAGTCATACAGGTTGCTTGAACACTTCCAACCCGTCTGGGTGAGAGTGCCCTGGTTGTGGGAGAAGCCTGAAGCAGAGTGACTGGAACGTGGAGGTTCTGTGGTTCTGCTCTGGAATTCGAGAACCCAGCCTCCCATGGAATTCTGAGTCCCAAAGTGCTGTTTTCAGAAACCTGCTTTCTGCTTATTTTTTTCTCTTTTCTTTTGGTAAAAAGCACTCCTCCCTGCTCCTTCTTTCTTCACTATACAACAATGCCTCAGCTCCTCTCATTTTCCAAACTATCCTCACACTCAACCTTCTCTCTTGAAATTCAGGCAATCCACTCTGATTCAATTCCTACTTTTCAATTTCCACTACCTGTCTGGAATATGAATTCCCATTCTTAGCATTTCTTGCGGAAATTCTTCTCGATTGTTACACTGGGGACATTTGAAGAAATGTTTTGCTGATGTGTGGGCGTATTTCTGTAAGAGAAATATAGAAAAGCTTTGTGTTTGTAAGAGACATTCTGACCACTTTCTCTCCACTCCCACCCTTAACCTGTGGGGCAGAGACAAACGAGTCTGGGTAGGCTAGGATGTGGACTGCAAATACAGGTTTTAGGCCTAGACAAAAATACATTTAAGAGAATTCTCAAGAGTGACTCAGATGTCACCTCTGGCTATAAGCCATGGCAGTAAAGGTCAGGTACCTGGACACATATCCTTTTCTTTTATCCTAGTAATGAGGCTGATTTTAAGGGTCCTTTGGGGATGAGCTCATTTGCTCTTGCAATTCTGAAGATTTTCCTGAGTCTAAGTCTTACCATCAGTGAGGTCCTATAGGCCAAGGATGACCAAAGACTGGCCTTTCTTCTCACTGATCAGAAGATGCCTTGCATACAGACCTCCAATATGGGCAGTATCGAAGCTAAGCTATGCCTGAAAATTCCCACAGTATCCTCATTCCAGGCAGACTGAGGGCAACTGTGGAAGGTCCCCCAGGTCAGAGAAAGCCCCACCTGAATGCACTTGCGGTGGTAGATAGCTTGACTACAACAGGGGCTCTGTATATTCTCAATACTTGATTGGGATAAGTCTTCACAACACAAGATGCAGCTTTCCTCTTCCACTTTCCCCCATTGGATGTCCTGGGTTGGGCGATGTTTTTCACAAAATGATCTGTTGCAGGGTAAACAGACTTGGTTTCCAGCTTGCTGCTGTTGCAGATTCCCAGTGCCTGGCCTACAAGGGACAATCAGCCATCCAGCCTGTGCCCAGATCCACACTCATAAGGAGGAGCAGGGTGAAGAATGGTCACATGCCTTCTCATGGCTGCTCTCCCACTGAACAAGCTCCTGGGACTGTTTCTACATCCTCCCATTCCTGAAAACCCCACTTAGTTCTGAGCAGCTGTCTAAGAACACCGGCTGTTCGTAATTTAAGAAGGGACTGGGAAGCAAGAAGAAACCTTGTGAAATCCTCAAGTCAAGACACTGTTTCCCATTATTGAAAGGATTCACTGGTGAATCAAAACAGGCCTGTGAGAACTGGATTCTGATTTCATTAGCAGCTAAATAACAAGTTGCAAAAGGCCAGCTGACTTTCCCCTTCCTCACTCACTTGTACTCTCCAAAAAATTGCGAAAGGCAACCCCTTTCTTGGCCACAAGGCAGATGGAAATTTCTAGTGCACCGATCTTTTTGGCACTTGATAGCAGCTCCCTTTTTCTTGCACACAAAGCAGATCTGTAAACGAGATCCCACAGTCTCAGTGCCCCAAGAAAGACAAACAGACACACTGTGTCACATCTTTTTATGGAATGAAAATTCTGTGAAGCAATCGCCATTCCCTTTTCTCAGTCATCTCAAAAGCGCCAGGGTACTAGTAAACTGAGCGTTAAGCAGCACTTAATTCTTTTTTTGTTTTCTCAGGCTATTGCTGTCTTTACTACATCCCAGAAGACAACTGGGACTTAAGAGAAAGACTGGGGCTGATGGTGTAGTTCAGTGGTAGAGCACCTGCACAGCATGTGTGAGGCCCTGGGTTCAATTCTCTTGCACTGAACAAAGGATCAGAATTTTCTGACTTCTAAACCAACAACTAGGGAAAGACTACAAACAGATTCTGAGAAAGGTCAAAGAAAGGCCTATGCTGAAATCTCCATTTCAGGGGATTCTAACCTTTCTAGAAGCTCGGGCTGCCTCCTTTTTGATGTCTTCAGGCAGGAATCCATGGAAACCTCTGTTGGATTGGCCCCTCTGAGGTAGTTTGCTAGATAGGATCTGGGGAAGCAGCAAAACCAGGCTCTCAATGTTGATAATCAGTGAAATAGTGCAGTGGGGTAAGGATGATAGGGCAAGAGAGCTAAGAAATACAGCTTAGTGAAGAAAAAAAGAAAAAAAGGAAAAAAATATATATATATGACAATTTGTTTTATGAACGCTTTCATAGTGCTATGTATTGGGTACTCTAAGCACTTTTCCAGTATTACATCACTGGAAACCCAACATCCTCTTCCCTATAGGAGAGACACAACTTGCTCAAGGCTGCTGAGCTCCAAAACCTGTATTTTTATGTACCTTTGTGCTATACTGCCTTCCATTTACTAAGGGCTACTGTTGCTATTGTGGGCTGAACACTTGGGGGAAACTTTCCCTCTGTATGAACTCACTTTATGTTCATCACAGCCCTATAATACAGATGTTATTGTGACTCACTGTACAGAGGAGGGGACTGAGGTACAGTGTGGTAAGTGATATGGCTAGGGTCACAAGACAAAAACAGAGCTAGCATTCACAACTGGGCCCATAGAATCCACATGCTTACTCCGCTTGGTATGCTGTCCTTCAGAGGTACAGAGTAAATACAGGAAGAGAAAAAGACTTTTAAAATCTTCTGACTACAATCATTCTGCATTGTAGGGGAAAGGGAACTGTGCTTTACTCTTTACTTTTTTTTTTTGGTTTTTTTCCGGTACCGGGAATCAAACGCACAACCTTGTGTTTGCCAGGCAGGCGCTGTTCCACTGAGCTAAATTCCCAGTCCCTGTGCTTTACTTTCAATAATACATGTTAGAAAGACTTTTGTTTCTGAAAGTATTTAAAGTAGAGTCTAGAATGGGAAATCAAGAAAAAAGAAGTTAAACTGTTCTCTTACATACACTTTGAGAATGTCAGTACCCCACTCCCACCTCAAGATGGGGGAAGGCTCCTTCTAAAAATATTGGAGAAGGTGGTGGACTTCTTGCATAAAATGTGTAATGGGAGCTCAGGTTATCTATTAAAAATAGTAGAAAAGGCAACCCTATTGTGTTAGGTAACTTGAGGGCACTTGGATTATAGCTGCTATGTTCCCAATTACAATTAAAACATATATAGTATATATTTTCACACTAATATCTCATAAGTTCTGTTTTATTTATACTACTAAATACTATTCACATTTTCTACAATGAGCATGTTACTGTTATACATAGAAAAAAATCAATAAACATTAAACAATCTAAGTGTCACTTAATAGGAGTTTGTGGGCTGGGGATTTAGCTCAGCGGCAAAGTACCTGCCTGGCAAGCGCAAGGTCGTGAGTTTGATTCCTGGTACCAGAAAAAAAAAACAAAAACAAAACAAACAAACAAACAAACAAAAAAATCGGAGTTTGTTTTAATACTTTTTGGCACACTCATATCAAATGCCAATTAGTTGTTGAAAAACTACAACTATATATTCTACATGAAAAGATCTCCAAAATAAATAGAAAAAATAGATAAATAGAAGGTAAAAAGAAATGATAAAAAGAAAACAAGAAAAAATAGACAAAAAGAAAACAACATATAAAACATTGTCTATAGTGTATTTATTTTTAGAATAAAAATGTATTGGCTTATAAATATATCAGAATTTATTAGACAGCATTTACTCAACAGAAAAAAATCATAGATTAATCTTTTTCATGCACATGGATATAAAAATCAAACAAAATATTCACAAACTGAATTCAGAACCATATACCAGGAGTGCAAGATTAGTTTAACATTAAATATTAAAGAATGCATTTGATGTAACACAGCACATTAACAAAATGATGCAGAAAAATCAAGATCCAAGTAGAACTAAGAAAATGCATCTGACAAAACTCAGTATGTGTGTATGATACCTTTAGCAAAGTAAAAGTAAAAGCTTCAATCTGATAAAAAAGCATCTCTGAAAAAAACTCTATAGCTAACATATTTTAATGATTAAAAACTAGATGATGTTCTCTAACGCTGGGAATAAGACATGGATAACCACTCATACCACTTCCAATGAGCATTATGTTTAAGGTCTTAGATAGTACAATAAAGCAAGAAGAAGAAATGAAAGACAAATATTGGAAAAGAAAAAGCAAGGCTGTCTTTATTTACACAACATGATTGTGTACACAGCAAGTCCTAATGCATTTACAATAAAACAAATACATAAAAACAATTACAGAATTTAATAAGATTGTAGGAGGTAAAGCCAACATACAAAAATAGTCACTTCTCTACTCCAGCAACAAATCTGAACATAAAAATTTAAAAAACCATTCACAATAGCATAACCACAAAATATTTAGGGATACAGTTAATAAGAGATGTGCAAGAATTCTTCCCTAAAACTATAGAATGTTGCCGCAGTAAATTTTAAAAAACCTCAAGTAAATAGAGAAATATGTGGGGCTGGGGATTTAACTCAGCGGCACAGTGCCTCTTTGGCAAGCACGAGGTTTTGAGTTCAATTCCTGGTACCGGAAAAAACAAAACAAAAAAAGAGAGAAATATGCCATGTCCAACCTTCAGTATTATCTATCAATTCTTGCCAAACTGACCTATAAATTCAAGGCAGTCCTGATTATAATCCCAGTAGGTTTTTTGAAAAAGAAAAATTAACTTAATATAAAATCTATAAAGAAAAAGAAAGAACCTAAAAGCCAAAACAATCTTGGAAAACATTCCAAAACTTATGTACTCAAAAATGAAACATGATAAAGCCACAGTAAATTAAGACAGTGGTGTAATGGCAAATGGATAGATACATACAGATCAATGACATAACTAGATCATCCAGATCTACAGACTTGTAGTCAACTGATTATCATAAAGGCATTTAGATAATTCAATGGATAGGCAAAGGTTTCTTAGGACACACACAGAAAGTACTAACTATAAAAGAAAAAATTAATAAATATAACTTTGTCAAAATTACAGAGTTGTCCCTAAAGGCAGAATTAAGAAAACAAAAAAGCCACAGATTAGGAGAACATATTTATAATACATACATCTTAAAAAGAATTTGTATTCAGACATGACCAGCTGCATTGAGGATGGTATGGCTGTAGACAAGAATTTGTATTCAGAATAAACAATTCTAACAACTCAATAATTAGACAAAAGAACCGATTTTTTAAATGGGCAAAAATATTTGTACAGATTCTTCACAAAAGAAACTATGTGAATGGCCAAAAAGCACATGAAAAGCTCAATATCTTTAGTCATCAGTGAAGTACAAATTAAAACTATAAAGACTGACAATACCAAGCTTTGGCAAGAAAATTGTGTGACTAGAACTTTCATAAATCACTTATGGAAATGTAAACTGGTACAACCATTTTGGAAAATGACTCGGCAACTTCACATAGTTAAACATGTATTTAGCATACAACTAGTAATTCCACTTCTATGCATCCGTCCAAGAGAAGTGAAAACACATGTTCACAAAATGACTTGCACATGAATGTTCACAGCAATTTTATTCACAGTAGTTCCCAAATGGAAACAATATATATGTCCACCAACAGATGAAGAGATAAGCAAAATGTAATGTACTTCTAATCTCAAAAACACTGTGTTTTGGGAGGAAAAAAGTCAGATATAAAAGCGTATAAAGAGTAGATTCAATTTTATGAAGTAAAAGAATAGGCAAAAATAACCTATAAATCAAAACAGTGATTATCTCAGATTTTATTGACTAGAAAGAGGCAGGTCAACTTTCTGGGATAATGGAAATCTTATTTGATAAGGAGGGTAGTTATATACACCATTTATCATGACTCAACAAATGGTACATTAAAGTTAGTACATTTTATAGTATGCACATTATACCTAATAAATACTGAGAAAAAAATAACTGGAAGGACACTAAGTTTTGACAGTATTTGTCTCTGGGGAAGAGGACAAAGGTTGGGAATATTGCTTTAGGAAGAGGCTTTTTATTGTACATACTTTACACTGTTGGGATTTTACATCAGGTATGTATTTTATTTTATTTTATTTTTTGTTTTTTTTTCTGGTACTGGGAATTGAACTCACGACCTTGCGCTTGCCAGGCAGGCGCTGTGCCGCTGAGCTATATCCCCAGCCCCTAGGTATATATTTTAAAAAATAGACTTTAGAAAAGCTATTATAAGCCAGGTGTGGTAGCGCATGCCTGTAATCCCAGCATTTGAGAGGCTAGGCAGCATAATCACTGAGTTCAGGTCCAATCTCGGCTACAAAATGAGTTCAAGGCCAGCCTGAACTGCACAGTGAAACCCTGTCTCAAAAACACAAAAAAATAAATACAGCTATTATGAAAGACAAATAGGGCTATAAATCTGAGACCAGATGCAAAAGTAGTCTGAATAGTAAAAACCTTAAGACAATCAAAGCCAAAGAGGCCTTATACTCACAAGACAGAAATAATGCACACTAAGATTGTCTTTCTGAAGAAATTCTCCTAATTTTTCAGGATCCCCTGGTTCTTGGAGGCATAGCCGGCAAACTAGAAGAGTGAATATTAAGAATTAATTATAGGCTTGGCTCAAGTTGACCATTAAGAATTGAAGAGGAGTATGTACTAACCATCTGAGTACAGATACACTTCAGTTTATGAAGGGGTTAAGTTCCCTTGTAAGTTGAAAATATCAGTCAGCGGGGCCAGGGATAGTGCTCAGCTGCACAGTGCCTGCCTAGCAAGTGCAAGGTCCTGAGTTCGATTCCCAATACCCACACAAAACCAAAACAAAATGAAAATATCAGTCAAAAGTGCATTTAAGGGGGCTGGGGATTTAGCTCAGTGGCACAGTGCCTGCCTGGCAAGCGCAAGGTCGTGAGTTCAATTCCCAGTACCGGAAAAAAAACAAAAATAAAAAAAAGTGCATTTAAGCTGGGCATGGTGGCACATGCCTGTAATCCTGGCACTTGGGAGGCTGAGGCAGGAGGTTCACCAGTATTTCAAAGCTGGCCTGGGCTACATAGTGAGTTCAAGACCAGCCTACACTACACAGTAAGACCCTGTCTCAAGAAACCAAAGAAAGAGAAGAAAAAAACAGCACTTAACCTACCAAACATCATAGCTTACCACAAAGCACACTGTATAGTATCAGTTTCTTTCCTTCACAATTGTGTGGCTGAGTGGGGGCTGTGGCTCACTCACTAACTTGGGAAAAGATCAAAATTCAAAGTACAGTTTCCACTGTGAATGCATAGCACTTTTGCACTGCTGTAAAGTCAAAGAACTCTAAGTCAAAACTTGTAAGTGCCTGCCCGGCAAGCACAAGGCTCTGAGTTCGATTCCCGACACCAAAACAAAGCAAAACAAACAAAAACCAAAAAACTTGTAAGTTGGGAACATCTGTATTGGGAAAGTGGTCACGTTGGAAAGGAGGAAGGTTAGGATGAGGGCTTACTTGCCATCAGTTAGGATTTGATATAATTTTGGTCACACTAAAGGAGTTTTGTCTCTTTAACTTTGGCCATGAGATTTTAAAATTATAGAGATTACTGTCCCCACAGATGGCCTTCTTTGCTGAAGTCTGAAGACAGCACACCTTATCTTTCTTACCAGGCCCTGAAGACAGCTTCCTCTGGATTACACTGCTAGTCCTGGCAGATTTTCTATATAAGAGAAAGAAGTACAAGGTGGTTTTTGAGTACCCTGTTGACAACCCTTGAAACATTTTCTTTAAAATGTCATTCACATGTCTGATGAGGACCAAAACATTTAAAAGCTAAAACATCAATCTCTTTTAATTAATTAATTTTATTATTTTGCAGTACTGGGGATGGAACCCAGGAACACTCTACCACTGAGCTACAACCCAGCCTTTATTTTGAGACAAGCTCTTACTAAATTGCGCGGGCTGGCCTCTAACTTTTAACTTGCCATCCTCAGCCTCTGGGATTACAGGTGTGAGCCACCACTCCTGGCTTCATGTTTTTTTGAAAGCACAAAATATATCCACTAAATTATCTGAGGGTAGGGGCCAGATTATAACAATCTTTCTGATGCCAGCTGCCTGTACTGCCTATGCTGACTAAACAATTGCAAGAGCAAACCCTCTTTCACTCTTTTACTCTTTCTTCTGCCAAGTACTCTGAATTTCAGGTGGTACTACCCTTACAATGCTGACATGATACTGAAGTTGAGTGAGTGAGCATTTCTCACTGCTGGCACTATCCTTAGCACTTTGCCATTTATTAGTTCAATCTATAGAACGTGCTTAAAAGATGGTTACTATGATTATGCACAATTTCCGGGAGAGGAACTGATGCAAAAAAAAAAAAAAAAGTTGATTTATACTAGGTCATTTAGCAAGTGGTCGAGCCAGGATATTAATTTACATAGTAAAGTTCCAGAGACACCACCTTGCTATTAGAGACAGCATTGGCAAGATAGGAAAGGCAGTTTCAGTGACCACCAATGTCTGCTTTCACACTGTTCAACTCTATCCGCTAAAACCAGGCCAAAAAGAGCAAAAAAGTGCAGCATGTATCACCAGCCACTGGTCAATTTCTCCCAACTCCCTCTTGTCACCTACTCTACCTCAATCTTTGACATTCTTTCGTCTTTTCTTTTATAGTCTTCATTCGCTGCTGTCTCTCTTTCCTGTATGGAATTCTTCTATATTATGATGGCAGTACAGGTTCTTCTAGCTATAAATGTAAACAGGGCTTGGTCAGCAATTCAATTCTGCATTTCGTTATCAAGTTCCATAGGGTCAAGGCAACAGTGCACTTCACCTCCCAGCCAGTGATGGGATAGAAAGGAACACCCACTATCAATGTTAGTAATAGCCAATAACCCTTGGATTGTGCCTAGAACTGTTCTAGGCACTTTGTATGCATTTACACACAAAACTGCCACTTAGCTACCATTATTATTTCTATTTCAAGATGAGGACACTGAGGCTTAAAGAAATATCTTGCCTAAGCCAAGGCTAGAGTTAAGAGATAAAGGTGATATTTGAACCCAAGTGGCCTTGTACAGATGCCACCATTAAATCCCGCACTTTATACACTGCTCTCATACAGCAGTGTAAGAACTTGCAACCAGTTGAAGATAACAGTATGTAATGTAGCCACCATTGTTAATTCCTATCATTTTGTTTTGAGGTCATGTATCGTTTTTGTGCTGTTTTGGTTTTGTCTTCATTGTTGTTTTGTTAGTTTTTTTAATCTTAAAAAAAAAAAGAACTTGCAAAAATGGCTTGACCTAGTTAAATGATTGTTTCTACTAGATGCATGAGACAGCCCTCTGGAAAAAGCCATCTTTTGCACCCAAACGTAAGTGTCCTAGTTCTGCACAGTAAAAACTAGAGAAGGTAGTTCTTTTCTAGGAAAAGGGGCCTATGAGATTATGGCTGCCTGAAAGCATCAATTTCCTCTAGTGAGAGATAAGAAGTAACACTGACAAACTGACCCCTTAGCTTTCACCACTGTTTTTTAGAAGGCTCAGATGGTCACTGAGGTTTGGCCTGTTCCCCAGTTTTTGTCTACATCTGATCTGGGTCTACGACTGTGACTACCAAGGCAGGTAGCTGCTCACAACGCCAAGGCCAGCCCGCCTTCCCTTCCCGGACGATGCTCGCTCCATCCCCTCTTCCAGCCTGTAGCTGCCGAACTGTCACGGGTTGCCGTCTTAGCGAAAGTGCTCGCACAGGCTGAAGAGGAGGGCAGGGCGCGCGGGACCCACTGCACTTGACCGCCGACAGCTGCGGGGGCGCCAGGAAGAAACCCTGCACGCCAACGCTTCATCGCAGGCTCACGACGTTCGTGCGGAGGACTCGCACGGCAGGACGATGCGACCCTCCGCAAACACCTGCGGGGGCCGAGTTCCGCACGCCGCTCAGGTCCGCGCTTTCCTAACCCGCTGCCTGCTCCCGCCAAGCGCTTACCGAGTTGTTTCACCGGACAAACGCTGGGCAGATGCTTGCTGAGAATATTAAAAATAAAGTAAGGTGTTCGGTCCCGCCGCCGCGAATAAATAATGATAGACTTGGAAAATACGTGTTGCTGTGGCCACCCCCGTGCCTTGAGGTAACAGCAGGAGAACGGGCTCAAGGCGCGGCCCGCGCAGGCCAGACCAGGCTCATGTCCCGCCTGCGAATCCAGGCCGGCGATGCCTCCGCCGCTCGCTCCGCGCGGTAGGACACGGGCCGCCGCTCCTGGCCGGGGCTGCCTACCCAGCTGTGGCTAAGGGCGCCGCTCTCCGGGAGTTTTATTCGTTGTGACAAGCCGTGAGAGCTCCCTCACGGGCGGCGCCCCGCGCGGTGACTGAGCTGGTCAAGGAGGGGAGCGCGCAAAGCGGGGCTGGCGCACGCGCACCTTTAGCCACCGGGACCACAGCAACAGCCGTTGGCAGAGCGGAACCGCTAACGGCCACGCGCCTGCCCACTCCCTAGCCGCTCCCTTGCGCATGCGCGCCCGCCTCCGAGCGCGCGACCGCATTTGCAGCGCCGGCCCAGGGGCAGGGTCGTCGCTTGGTGGTGACGTATGCTGCCGTCGCGGGCGGGTGACGCGGAGGGGCCCGTTGTCTGTGCGTGGGGCTGAGGGGCCCCGGGGGCGGTGGGGGCTCCCGGCGGGGGCGGGGGTGGGTCGGAAGGGCCTGGACATGGCGCTGAGGGGCCGCCCCGCGGGAAGATGAATAAAGGCTGGCTGGAGCTGGAGAGCGACCCGGGTGAGGAGGGGGCTGGGCGGGCCGGGGTGTGGAGGGGCAGGTGAGCCTGGGGCGCTCCTGCTTGACCACCGTCCCCTCCTCTTGTCCCCGCCAGGCCTCTTCACCCTCCTGGTGGAAGATTTCGGTAAGAGCCTCCTGCCCGCCGAAGTGGGGCTGTGGGGGTTCATCCCTCTGCCCTGGCTGCGGGGCCAGAGGCTGCCCTTCCGACTTCTTTCGTTTCCCGATCGCAGGTGTCAAAGGTGTGCAGGTGGAGGAGATCTATGACCTGCAGAGCAAATGCCAGGGGTGAGTGGCTGGGCCTCCCCTTCACACCAGAAGAGTGGGACAGGCGAGGGAAAAGTGCCCTTCAGGGAGGCAGCGTCTGAAAGCCCATGTTGTGGTGTGTCAGGAGAACCATCCCTCCTCTCTGAGTGCCATCCTAGTCAGCTAATTTTTGTGTTCTTCCAGTTTTTCCTCAACACTTCCCTTTCGGTAGCAGCCCTCCCCGCAACCGTCCCTGGGGTACGTTTTAGCTACCCTTCCTAGTCTTGCAGCAGGAAACCCTAGGTCACACAGTGCCTTTTGTGCAACTGGGCAATTCATTAATTCTATGGCCACGCTTACTGTGGCCTTAGTTCTCACTCCAAAGTTGTCCTGCACTGATTGATTGGTGTGACAAGACCCCCTCCTGGTGCCCAAACTCAGGTTCTGGTCCTGGCAGTTTCACAGACTAGACCTGTGGAGTGACTGCTACAGTGCTGAACTAAGTGACTGACTTCTTATTTTTGGGGGGTACATGTGGATGTTCATTTGTTTCTGTAGCTTTGTTGGAGCTCAGGCCTTGGGATCCGAAAGTGAGAGTTAGTGCGTAAATTCCTCATGAGAGCTTTTGTTTGTATTTTGTGTTTCTGTCCTGAGCTGTTGGTTCCAGCTCTCTTTTTGTTTTTAAAATCTCAGAACCATACACTTCATAGGGAGAGTGAGTGGGTGGATTCCTGGAGCACCATGGCTGTTGAGAGCTGCTGCTTGACCCTGTCTGTGGCAGCCTTGTGGGGCATGAAGGCTTAGGGCTACAGTGGATACAGTATTGGGAAGAAGCCAGGGACAGGTGGGATCACGGCAGGAGCCCCTCACTGATGACATGGTGCAAAGTAATAGGGGAAGGAAAAAGAGGATGCTGATGTCCTTTTGTTTTTACTTCCCAGCCCTGTATACGGATTCATTTTCCTGTTCAAATGGATAGAAGAACGCAGATCCCGCCGCAAGGTCTCTACCTTGGTGGATGATACATCTGTGATTGATGACGATATTGTGAATAATATGTTCTTTGCCCACCAGGTGTGTTGGGCTCTGTGCTTGTTGGAGGGTAGGATGTTGCTTTTTTTTGGCTTAGGAAGTGGAAGTAAGGAAGACAAGAGAAGGAGATAGGCATATACCAAGGCTGATGGTTATAGAAACTTCTTGGCAGAAGGAACCCAGCTCGTACTCACTAGAGGAAACATCTTTAGAGTAGGGTAGCATCTCAGTTCACTCTCCATGTCCCCAGACATGTGACACTTGCTGAATATTTAGTTGGTACATGTTAAATGAACAAATGTTGGGTGAGGATGGTGAGGATGACAAAAGCCAAGGAGGGTTCCTGTCCAGGTATGAGTCCCTGTCTCAGAACCCATTCCTAATGAATACAGGCTTGGCGGACCTTGGGGTGAAGGATTCTGTGTATGGGTGACTAGTCTCGGTTTTACAGCTGATCCCCAACTCCTGTGCCACTCATGCCTTGCTGAGCGTGCTCCTGAACTGCAGCAATGTGGACCTGGGGCCTACCCTGAGTCGCATGAAGGATTTCACCAAAGGCTTCAGCCCTGAGGTAGGCTGCAGTGCCTTAATCCTGACTCAGCTGGCTGGGCAGATCTGATCCTGGGGGGCATTGGTAATGCTGCCACATGGTATTTGGTACTGTTTGGCTGTTTCTTTTTCAGATGACCATTAACATTACATTTGACCCATAATTAATTGTGTAAGGCAGTTGGTTTTAGGCTCAATTGTCAGGAGAGGAAATAGACCTAGGGAAGAAAGAGAGTTAAATTACAGTGTCGGAATCTTCCTAGTTGGGGCTTTTTCTATCAGGCTTTGTTGCTCCCTATTTTCCACTTATAACTACAAGGCCAGAACAGACCCTCTCTCTGGGGGTACCAGAGCTCTTTTCTCTCCCCTTGGGGTCACTTAGGAAAGTTTGTCTGTGCTGCTTCAAATTCCTGGAATGCCTTCAGGCTCACTTAAAGTCCCCCCTCCCGTCCCTCCTCCTAGGGGCCCACCTGAGAGAAGGTCTTCTGATATGGTCTTATTCTTCCCCCTAGAGCAAAGGATATGCAATTGGCAATGCCCCAGAGTTGGCCAAGGCACACAATAGCCATGCCAGGTATGTAAGAGTGTGGCGGCCAATATGGAATATGGTAGGGAAAAATGTCATTTTTGTGGGCGCCGACTTCGTATTTCCCCAGGCCTGAGCCACGTCACCTCCCTGAGAAGCAGAATGGCCTTAGCGCAGTGCGGACCATGGAGGCGTTCCACTTTGTCAGCTATGTGCCTATCACAGGCCGGCTCTTTGAGCTGGATGGGCTGAAGGTCTATCCTATTGACCATGGTAGGTACCTGAGCTAGAGGCCTGTTGGGTTTCTTGCTTACTTTTTGGGTGCCTGGAGCTTAAGGCCGTCGGGTACATGGGACCTAGTGGCAGAGGGTGGGGTTTATACTGAGAACATCTAACTCTGGCTAGGGTTTTACTCTGTACTACATTGCCTGACTAGCTCATGACTGGTTCAGCCACACTTACCTAACTTTTTACCCTTGATCTGGTCAGACTCTCAATTTTCTACATGCTGATTCCTCATCTTGGTCTTTCCTAGGGCCCTGGGGGGAGGATGAGGAATGGACAGACAAAGCCCGGCGGGTCATCATGGAGCGTATTGGCCTCGCTACTGCAGGGTAAGGGCCTGAACCTATCCTACTCCATCCTTGTAGAGCTATGTTCCCTTTGAGGGGCATACAGAAAGGCTCAGCGATTTGTAAATTGCAAGGCCATGTGGTGAATCTGGCAAGAGGAGGCTTCTACCTCCTTGCCTTATTTCCTGCCTGGACTGCCTGTGGCTGACCCTGGGATGAGCCGAAGGGAATAGGTAGGCCTTGCTGGGTCCCTAGGTGGCCCAGGTGTGCCGGCTCACTTCCTGACAGGCTCCTCATACAACTCATTGGAATGTACCCGCTCAGGTGCCTGGTGTACCTGGCCAGCTGCTGCCCACCTTTTGGGGTGGGGCCTATCCCTATGGCTGCAGGTGTAACTACACGGAGACCTGCCAGGATATCTGCCTCAACCTGATGGTGGGTCTGGGGTGGGAGCTGCTCTCACGGCTGCGGCTGTGACTGCAGGGAGCCCTACCACGACATCCGCTTCAACCTGATGGCAGTGGTGCCCGACCGCAGGATCAAGTATGAGGCCAGGCTGCATGTGCTGAAGGTGAACCGTCAGACAGTACTGGAGGCCCTGCAGCAGGTAGGTTTCCCTCCAGCCTGGCCCTGGGCCAACCTTTCCTCCACTGCAGCATCTTTTTCCAAATTACACTTTTTGATGGATCCAAGCTTTTCCTTTATAGTTCTTCTCTTGTGGAGAGGTAGAACTTGGGGCTCAGGGTGAGAATAGCTTCTAAAAGAAGTTTGTTTCTCTATTAATGGTGAATGGTTAGAGTCATGGCCATTGTGCTGTATTTTAGCTAAGGTGGAGGCCTACCTCTTCCCTCCCTCCTGAGCTTTAGATTCTCTTTTCAGCTGATTAGAGTAACACAGCCAGAGCTGATTCAGACCCACAAGTCTCAAGAGTCACAGCTGTCTGAGGAGTCGAAGCCAGCCAGCAGCAAGTCCCCCCTTGTGCTGGAGGTAGTCAGGGCCCCATCGGCCTCTGAAGGCAGCCACACAGGTACTTGGTTGGGGAGCGGTGGGGGCTTCCCCTGGGCTTCAGAGCCATCCCTCATAGCTTGTCTTGGGAGGTCCAAGCAAGAACTAGTCTTCCTGTATGTACGTACTTGGGAAGTGGTACAGAGGCTCCTTTGGGAGGTCTGAAAGCCCAGTGCCCATGGCTGTCTCCCCTAAGAACATAAGAGAGTTGTCCTTCCCTAAGAGGCACCTGTGTAGGGTTGCCATTACCCCAGCCCCCTGAGCCCTCTCTAAGGTACCCTTCCTTTCTTGTTTTCTGTGGGGGTATATTGTTTTCTGCCTCTCCTACCTTTTTTTTTGTCCCCATCTCATTCTTCCTATGACCATGACTTAGAGGTTGCTTCTTCCTTTCTGCCAACTGGCTCAGCTATTCCTCTCCACGAGGGAAGGGGAATAGTGCTGTGTAACAGGATTGAGGAGACTGTGGGCTTTGCTTGATGATCCAACTAAAGGTCCTCTACCTATACTCCCTACCCTGTCTCAGATGTTGCAGAGGAGACAGCTGGTTCATGCCCACAGGCTCCGACCCATAGTCCTCCCAGCAAACCCAAGCTGGTGGTGAAGCCTCCAGGGAGCAGCCTCAATGGTGTTCCCCCCAACCCAACCCCCATTGTTCAGCGGCTGCCGGCCTTTCTAGACAATCACAATTATGCCAAGTCCCCCATGCAGGTAAGTGGGAAGTACCCTTGCAGGATTTCCTCTGAGCTTTGCAGAGGCCACAGTGGCAGTTTTCCCATGTGGTCCCTTGATGCTCACTCTCTGCTGGGGCCTGGATTGCCAGGTTCCTCTGATACTCAGAGGCTCCACCACAGCGGGGGCTTAGAGAGACAGGGAGAGCTCTGATTATAAATCTGGTCACATGATTGTGGGTTAAATGTTTAGGTATGCTCTCTTAGAAGGCTTCCATAGGCTTCTGTAAGTTTCAGTGGGTGGCAGCCTCTCTGGAGCCAAGGGGAGCACCTGGGAGCGCTCAGTGGACTCAGCCTGGAGTGGGTGTTGCCTTTCTTCCTGACTGTGAGTGCTATCCCCACATGGATGGGCAGCCTCTGTTCCTGACTTCCCTGGTCTCTGGCCCAGGAGGAGGAAGACCTGGCAGCAGGTGTGGGCCGCAATCGTGTTCCAGTCCGTCCACCCCAGCAATACTCGGATGATGAGGATGACTATGAGGATGAGGAGGATGATGATGTGCAAAACACCAACTCTGCCATCAGGTCAGCCCCAGCTCTGTGAGGCTGGCAGACTCTGGGTGCCTTGGATCCTGTTCTGCATATCCCAGCCCAATGTCTGAGAGTGCTGTTGAGTGGATAACACTGTACGCCTGCAGAATGTAGGGCCTGGGGGAGGCTGGCCTGAAGGGCTGATCCCATGTCCTCAAGAAGTTTATGGTGGGCCTGAGGGAGAACTGAGCACATAAGCAGGTATCAAGGTGTGTCCTGTTGAATGTAGTTTTTCAGCTGGGCCATGAAGGATTGGTTGAGGAAGAAGGAAGTGGGAAGGATGGAGTTGATGGGGGTAGGGGAGGCAGCACTGCTGGAAGATACGGCATTGGCACAAGGCTAGAGTGAGGCCACTAGAATAGAGTTGTTCTTTAAGAATACCAGGCTGCAGTGGGTAGAGCTTAGAGTGCCACGATTGGGGTGATTGGGTAAAGTTGCTTGGAACAAGGATGAGGTGCTTTGGAGTCAGCCGCTGGAGGCTAGGCCATTCTAGAGACTGTTGGTTGTGGTGACCTAACCTGTTCCCTCAGCTCATCTTTTCTTGGGCCTCACAGATTCAAGCGGAAAGGAACGGGGAAGTCAGGGTCGTTAAGCAGTTCTGCAGATGGGCAGCTATCAGTGCTGCAGCCCAATACCATCAACGTCTTGGCTGAGAAGCTCAAAGAGTCCCAAAAAGATCTCTCAATTCCTCTGTCTATCAAGACTAGTAGCGGAGCTGGAAGTCCAGCTGTGGCGGTGCCCACCCATTCGCAGCCCTCCCCTACTCCCAGCAATGAGAGCACGGACACTGCTTCTGAGATCGGCAGTGCTTTCAACTCACCTCTGCGCTCGCCTATCCGCTCAGCCAATCCCACACGGCCCTCCAGCCCTGTCACCTCCCACATCTCTAAGGTGCTTTTTGGAGAGGATGACAGCCTTCTACGTGTTGACTGTATACGCTACAACCGTGCTGTCCGTGACTTGGGTCCTATCATCAGCACAGGACTGCTACACCTTGCTGAGGATGGTGTGTTGAGTCCCCTGGCACTGACAGGTGGGTCTTGGGCTGGCTCATTGGCCACTTAGTATACCTGGGAGGGAGGAGGGAGGTATCCAAGTGACCTCAAAGTGTCCTGTACTCTGACATATCTTTTCATGTCCTCTTCTCAGAGGGTGGGAAGGGTTCCTCACCCTCCATCAGACCAAGCCAAGGCAATCAGGGGTCCAGCAGCCCAGAGGAGAAGGAGGTGGTAGAGGCCACAGACTGCAGAGAGAAGACTGGGCTGGTCAGGCCTGGTGAGCCCTTGAGTGGGGAGAAGTACTCACCCAAGGTAATCCTCCTTAGTGGCTTTATCCTGGCAGAGAGAAGGGCCAAGGCTGCTGCTGTCCAGGTGCTGGGTTCTTGCCTGGGATTTTGGTATGAAGGGTGGTGGTTGCTGTCAGATGCCAGAAAACCTTTCTGAGTTGGGTGATAGCAGGGGCCATAACAGGCCCCATGGACACTGGTTGCTCACCCTTGCCTCTGGCTGCCTCTTGGTAGGAGAGCTTGGTGCTGACCAGCCTCCTCAGATACAATGCTGCATTTTGACAGGAGCTGCTAGCACTGTTAAAGTGTGTGGAAGCTGAGATTGCAAACTATGAGGCTTGCCTCAAGGAGGAGGTGGAGAAGAGGAAAAAGTTCAAGGTAGGTGATCTCGCCACTCCAAAGTACATGGTCCTCTGCTCCCTCTTGAGGTCAGCTGCTTGAGGAGATGGACTGTGGCACGCTCATACTTTGTTTTTTCCACAGATTGATGACCAGAGAAGGACCCACAACTATGATGAGTTCATCTGTACCTTCATCTCCATGCTGGCTCAAGAAGGTGAGGGGCTTATTGTGGTGTCTTAATTGGAGGTGCATATCCATCTTATAACTCAACTGGGGCTTGAGCAGACTATAGGCCACAGAGATGGCTATGAGAGCCTCAATTTATGGCCGGAAACTGTTGCGATTGAGAGGGTGGTGCTGGGCAACCAGCCACCTGCTCACGGGTGTCTGCCTTCTGCAGGCATGCTGGCCAACTTGGTGGAACAGAACATCTCAGTGCGGCGGCGCCAAGGGGTCAGCATCGGCCGGCTGCACAAGCAGCGGAAGCCTGACCGGCGGAAACGCTCCCGCCCCTACAAGGCCAAGCGCCAGTGAGGACTTCTGGCCTGACCACAGCCCGCTCTTGCCGTGATGCCCTCAGCAGGGGCCTTCCTTGCCCCACTTTCTTTTTCCAGTATTACTGAGTAGTTCTACCAGAGAGCTAAGGTCCTGGGCGTGGGATCCAGCCCATGCTCCCTGTGTTAAACCCTAGGGCCTGGCTGGGGGTGGGAGGACAGGTCAACCGCATCATGCTCAGGGAGCAGCAGCTGGAGTTGGGCCATGGCAGGGTGCTGTGGCTTCCTCCACAGCTGGCTGTGGAGCAGCAGGACCTGGCCCTTCTGCCTGGGCAGCAGAATATATATTTTACCTATCAGAGATGTCTATTTTTCTGGCCTCCAACCCATCTTGCCATCATACTAATGTAGCTGGCTTCCTGACTCTGCTTTTTTGCGTGGTATCTGTCATCCTGGTGGGCCCAGGTCCCTGTATCATGCTACGGTCACAACTGTAGGGTCCCAGCTGGGGGCCTTGGTAAACATGGGGCCCTGCTGCTCTAGCTCCAGCCACTAGTCTGCCCCTGTCATGAGGAAGCCACTCCATTCCTCTTGGGAGAGTGCCAAACTCAGGGACCTGGCTGTTGGGCAAGACTGGGTATGGAGTGTTCCAGTGAGGGCAGGATGAATACCCTGCTGGGGTCCTGTGGCCTGAGTGGAGAGAAGTGTTTGAGCTGTTTGATGGCCTGTAAAACTGTCCCAGTTCTACCTGGACATGTTGAGACTGCTGTCCATAGCAGGGCTTTGGGCCTCTTTGCCTTCAGTGTTGTGGCCCTGGCTATGGGCCTTCCTTGGGCTCCCGGTTTCTGTCCCTGGAGCTGGGACCCAGAGGAGCCTCTGCCCAGCCCCTCAGTATTACCATGTCTTCCTCCTCATAGGGATAGCAGAAACAGGACTGCTTGCAGGAAACTGGCACCACTCAGCTCTCCCTGCTATGCCAGCTTCCTTGGCCTTTGCAAGGCACTCAGGGTGGGAGACAGCAGGATCAAGATAACCAGTTGGAGCCTTTGTTCTCAGAGGGTTGATGCCAACGGGTAATGGGGTCAGCATTATCTCTGAAGCTCAGGCCCCACACACAGGAGGCAAGCAGGCCCCTTATCTGTGTACATAGTGACTGCAGGGGCTGAGCACCACCTGACTCCTCCGGCTCCTGTAAATACTGGATCACTAAATGAATAAAACTGCTAAAAAATGACGCTTCCTGTGGTTGCTGGCCTGAGGTCAATAGGCTGGGCTGTGGTGGAGTGAGGGGCCTCATGGGCCAAGGCTTTGAGAGGTAGGAAGTATGCATTCCTGGGGTGTCTGGCCTTCTAAGACACTAGGCCTTAAGACACTAGGATTTAGGACCTGAGTTGAGAAGGAGCTGTAGATGAGGTGCACCAAGGAAAATAGGCTTGGCTTTTGCCAGATGTGGTAGCTTTACAACCCACAGTAGTGCTGGGGCTCTGGGTCAGGGAGGTAGTGCTATCTCTAGTTGTGCCTAATGTGTTCCCCCTGGAGGGGCAGTGGGACCTGGGAGGGCACACGTCTCCTTTTTCCTTGTTGCATTTGGACAGGGACTGCAGGCCGAAGCTAGCTCTGTGCTCTCACCCACTTGCTGATCCCATTCTTTGCTGAGGCCACTGCAGTCCTCACCCACCACAGTAGTAGTGGCTCCTACAGAGGGAGCCTCATACAAGCGGCCGAGGCATGGCTAGAGTAACTGGAAAACTCAACTTTAATGGTTCCGGCCCTTCTGAGTCTAGTAGTCCAGGGCACAGATGAGGGCCACACCGCGCTTTATCCAGTGTCGCTGAGGCTGGTCGGTAGGGATCTCCACAGCGATGACATAGTTGGTAGAGTGGCCTGTAGTTGACAGTGTTCCTGGCAGGCAAGAAGTTGGGAGTGTTAGATTGTGCTCTGTCATCAGCAGAGCAGAGATAGGGCGGGGGGAGGGACAGGCAGACTGGGTCAGGGACAGAGAGGCTGCTGGCCCAAAGGGAATCCTGTCTGATAAATGTGTCTGGCCAAGGGTTAGGCCTGCCTAGCTTACTACAGGATAGCAGAGTTGATGCCACTGTTCAGTCCCTATGGTCCCGGCCCGGGATCATCCTTGTTTGTGCTTCCACTGCTCTTCTGAACTCCCAGTGGCAGGCTAGGGCTCATACATTGATGGAGGACGTTAACTTGCCTGCTTGTAGCCTGGCTTTGTGTTGTCCCAAATCTGTCAGCCTCTCCACTCCGCTAATCAGGCTAACTGGCTTGGGCTGAGTTGGGTCAGTCCTTGGGCCCCCACCCATAGTGTAGGCTCCCTGCTTTGGCCCTGTACCGGCACGGGTCAGTGTCTTGTAGATGGGACACAGGTAGATGTCCTGGTTCTGAGCCTTGCGGTGGGGCACTGGTAAGAGCCAGATAACAGCCATATCTGTGTATAGCTCCTTGGGCCGAGACTCAGCCAGTTGGAAGGCCTGCGGGTCCCAGCGGGCACCTTCCAGGAACAGTCCATGGATGTAGCACCCGACTTCGGGCCTTTCTTGGAGTTCTGATGGTGACTGGGCCATCACCTGTGGGGGACACACAGACATACACACATATCAACACCCAAAGTCTGGATTAGGGTTTTAGTCACCTGAGAGCTCCTGTCTGCCTGCCCGCCCATCGCTTGCCTGCCATTTTAGCCTGTGAATTTTCCTGGGTCTCATGGCCTTTCCTGGCTGAGTCTTGCCTGTTTGGGGCTACCCCAAATACCAGGCAGCTATGGTCTCATTGCCCCTTCTGCCTAAACTATGCCCCAGCCTGTCACCTGACCTGGCCCTGGCTGTGTCCACACCTTGAAATCAAAGGAGATGATGTCAATGGAGATGATGAACTTGCGGGCAAAGTTCTGTAGAGTGCCTGTCAGGAAAGCCTGTGGGAAGAAGAAGCCACTGATCCAGAACACGGCTGGGATGCCACCTTGGATCCAGGTGTGCAGGAAGTCCAGGCGCTGCAGCAGGTCCATGACCCAAGAGGCCAGTGGCTTGAGTGATGGGTATGCCTTGGCATTCCAGAGCTCAGGCACAGTGTTGTTGTACAGGCTGGCAGCCATCAGCTCCAGCTGCGAGGACATCACCACCAGCCCCTTGAGTGCCTTGAGCAAGTCTCGCAGTGTCTGTGTGATCACTTGCAGCAGCCGGTTGTACCTATGAGGCCAGGGGCAAGAAAGCAGGCAGTGGGCTGGGATTGTGTGGCAGTGCCCTCCCTAATTAGGGGCCATGTACAGGAAGCAATGGCAAAACAGAAACATGAAGAGTGTAGAGCTGTGTCAGGCAGCCTGGGTACAAATCCCAGCTCTGGGTCTTAGCAAATATGTGACCTGGGAAGTCGGTTAACCTTTCTTGTGCCTCCGTTTACTCATCTATAAAATGGGAATGTATAGCACTCCTATTTTCATTTCTCCACAACACTGGCCTCTGACTCGGGGGTGACAGGAGGAATTACCTAATGACCTCTTGTACCAGTACAGTGTTCATTGACTCCTCATACAACACGGGGTACTTGGCCATTACCATTTGCAAGTTGATAGGCTCAGGCACCTGGAGCAGAATGTTCTGGGCCACATCCTCCACTATCTGCAGGAGTAAAGAGACGTTAGGGGACAAGGCTGGCCTCCTTTATCTCCTGAAGGATTCCATAGGCGAAGGCTTTCCCAGAGAGGAGCAGGCAGGATGGTGGAGAATGGCCTTGCCCAGCCCTTGGCCCCTTTCCCCTGCTACCGCTTACCTCCTCCCGGCCTTGGCTGCCCACAGAGGATGATTTGGGCTGCAGCTGGATGATGGCACCAAGCAGGGCAAAAGTCTCATTCTGGGCAAAGGTGATGTTGGCATTGTCATGCAGGCCAAAGATCTCAGGCATATCGTTTAGTGGGAGACTTTTGATGTAGGAGAGGTAGCCCTGGGAGGTAGGAGGTCTGAAATTGAGAGCTCTGTCTGGCTCTACCCAGCCTGCAGAGTCACACTGTCCTTGAGCACATCTCACTTGTCATGTACCCTGTGTATCACCCCTGGCTCTTCTGGGTGAGGGCTTCTGAGGTACTGTGTGATGAGCTCACTTCCCGCCACTCCTTCCCATTTCCATCCAGCTCCCTGCTCCTCTAAGCAGCTGCTCATACCTTCTACCATAGGCCCTCTTCATGGTGCCCACCCAACCCTGCCTTGGCTCTTAACTTCTCCCTACACAGTTTGGTAAAAGTTTGTCTTTGGAGAGCCTGCCCTGACTGCAGAGTCTGGGTCCAGTACCATCTTGGAAGAGCTGTCCCAACCTACACAGAATAATTACACACAGGCAGTGGCTGAGGCAGAGTTCACCTATCCCTACAGAGCCTGCTCTTCAGCAGGTAAGGACTAACTCTACCTCTGTACCCATGAAATGGCTTCATCAGTGCAAAGGAGCCCCTGGAGGGCAGCGGCTATGCCTCCCGTCACCAAGTACCAAGGTGTTCGTGGCACCCTGGAGCCCCAGCCTGGTGGATCCCCTTCTGCTCAGTCCTTGGGGGTGGCCTCACATTGAGGTCGTAGGTGGGCTGGATCTGGTGGTAGATGCCTGATTCACTGTAGGTGTGGTCAGGGGAGAGCACAGCAGGCCTGTAGAAGTCCTCCAGGATGTTCATAACACAGCGGCGGTCCCAGTCATCAGTGACACGGCCTCCATAGTTGATCTCTCCTGCCGTGTACTTGAGGACCTATGGGATGGATGGCTTAGGGCCCCTGTAACTTCCACAGGCTCTTGCTCCCCAGTCTGTCCATGGCCTACCTTGTAAGGGATGTCATCATATTCGTCTAGAAACATTTTGAGCTGGCTGATGCAGATGCGTAGGTCTCCATCTGTGAACTCATAGGGGATGTTGAAGCCCAGAGCCCCAAATTTACGACGCTCCAGCGCATTCCCGTGAAATAGGCACAAAGACAGCAGCAAGGACTTGAACTCCAACACCTGCGGGAGTTAGGGGGAAGGGGCATGAGGGGTGCCGATGGGGACGGGTAGGCAGGCATGCACCAAGTGTGCCTCACCTTACGACAGGAGTTGAGGAAGTCGTCGCTGAGGCTGTTGTAGGACTTCAGCAGGTTGGCCTTGACACCACGTGGTGGCTCAATGGTCATCTTGGAGCCATTCTGCAGGATGGACACTGGAAACTTGTTACTGGGCAGACTGGTGAGCCACAGGCGGAAGTCCCGGTGCACCTGGTGCCCAAAGCTCCTCGTGAGCCTCAGGACACAAATCAACGCTCAGCTCCCTCCTGCCCAGGGACCCTGAGCTCACCCTCTGCCTGACTACCCTGGGAGTGGGCCAGGAAAAGCTGCATGGACAAATGGTTAAGGATATGGGCTTTGGCAAGTCCTAGGGTCCCCAGTCAGTCTGTGCTGGGTGGCTTGGGCAAGTTATCGGGCTCCAGACCCCCAGAAATGAGACTGTTAAGAAAAATGTAGTTGATGCATGATACGTTCTTCAGTTGCTGAACACTTGCTACATGTCCAGGGCTGGGCTGAGTGCTCTGTTGGATTATCTCACTTAAGCCTCATCTGTCTTTCATGGCTGGATTAGTACTCCCTTTCAGCAGAGGAGGCCCAACTGGGTCTGTGACAGGCAGCGGGGCACACCTTGTCGGGGTTGATGTGCTCAATGAGGCGCTCCAGGGCTGGCATCCAGCTTGGTGCTAGGTGGCAGTTCTGGAAGAAGACCCACTTGCCCCTCTCTATGGAGCTGCGCATCATGGCTTCTGCCCGAGGGCCCTGTGCAGGCAGGAACACTGAATGGAGTCGGGGGCCATCCTCCTAGCCCCCTCCCCCGCGGTGTGGCACTTACCTGACCCTGACCCAGGGAGATGGCAGAGAGCTTCTTGGAGAACTTCATCTCTTCGGCAAATTTATAGAGATCAGCAGCAGGGTCTGTGCCAGGTGACAGCACAAAGATGAGGGGCGTGGTGGAATTGGAGTCTTTGAACACCACTGATAGATTGGCTGTCTGTAAAAACACAGAGAGATGCTGGAACCACCTTGGATTGATGATGAGACAGGGACCAGGCAAGAGAGGGGTGTCCTAGGGCTCCCAGAGAGAACTTTGGGGCTTCTGAGTCCCCTTAAGGGCTGGGTAGGAGTCAAGTCCTGTCCTAGCCAAGGCTGCAAAGAAGTTCATCCAGAGGCACCAGGTGCCTGAGATCCAGGGTGCCAGCTCTGCCTGGGTACCAGCACTTGCCTGGGGCTCAATGAAGCGTGGCTCCAGGTTAGTGGCCACAAAGTCCTGCATGGCATTGGTAACCTTATCCCCACGCAGGCAGCGGAGGACCAGCAGCTTCTGGAACTGGTCCAGGTACTGGTCCCAGATGCCAGGCAAGGGTTCCCTGAAACAAATTTCCCTGAAAGCCAGCCTGTGGGAAGCCACTGGCCCCAGGGATTCTGACATCTGGATAGCAGCGGAGAGGGGGCTGTCCCAAGACTGCAGTTTGAAGGTACAGGAGAGATTGGGCCACAGCTGCAGGGTAATCCGGGGTGGTCTCCCAGAGCACCTGTTCCCGGGCTCTTGGCTGCTTGATGTGCTGCCCTGCCACACCCTGGGACCCAGCTCACCGGTGGGGCTCCAGGCTGTCGAAGATGGCCCGGAATTTTGTCTTGTGCTTTACAAAGTCAGAGGGGAAGGAGGAAAATGTTGGCAGGTTTGACAGTGCCAGGATGTCTCGCCAGGCTCGTTCTGACAGCCATCCTGGTGCAGGGTTCTCAGTCATGGTCTGGATGGAGCCCCCAGACAGGAGGTAGCGCCACTCACCCTGGGAGGAGACCAGGCAGGTTGTAGCCATCTCCTCCTTACCTCTAGGCACTCCACCCAGAGAAACTGAGCTGCCCTTGGAGATATTGGTCAGATAGGTCTGGTTTAGTGTCTCCACTTTGCCTTTTCCCGGATATGTGCTTCACTGGGGCTTCCGGCTCAGGATAGTCTGTGCCTGAGGACAGTCTCTGTGCTGAGCACATTCAAGGCTCTAAGAAAGCCTGTGCTCACATCATTGGTTGGGCCATAACCCAGGTTTTCTGTTGTGTTTAACCAAGGAACTGAGCTTCTTTAGGCCTCTGCCCTTCTGTTTTGCTGTACCCTTATACTTAGCTTTCCCTTTCTATCCACCCTGTTCTCCCTGGCCCACAACAGGGTAACCACTCAGGCAGTCAGGGTGCCTGGCCACTCCCTGCCTCTGCACCTGGTTGATCTTGCCCTCATTCATCATGATGCGGACACAGAGCAGGAAGGCGAACATCAGCTTGTGCTTCTCAAAGAGGCTGCGGCAGACATTGCTGTAGAGGCTGTATGTCAGGTAGCGGTTGATGTTGATGATGCGCTTTTTCAGGTTGTCTGCAGGGTAGAGATGCAATGGCAGAGTGTGAGGAGAGGAGAGAGGAAGGAGCATCCCAGGGTGCTTAGCTAACCTCCCGGTAGCCATCAGGGCACTGGCCATCCTCTTGGGCAGCTTGTTTTCTCAGTAAAGGGACCCAGGGAGGGTAGGGAACAGAGGGCATGTTCTTAGGTGCCATGAGGCTGACTGATGTGAGAGGTTGTGCCAGTGAATGTGGGTGTGAATTTATGTGTGTGCCCCATGGTGGAAATGTGTCCACATGTGGTGTGTCCTGTCTGTGTCAGAGTGGGCCTGTTGTGCCTGTGTGCTGGGGTTACCTGCCCTCTCTGAGTTGGCAATGCCCGAGAGGAAGATGTTGAGGAACCATTCGAGGGAGTACTGGTACATGGGGTCCACGTTCGCCAGGTCAGACACGCAGAAGAAGAGGATCTGAGTACGGACAGCCACAGGTATGTACTCCATGCGTGTGAGGTCAATGTCCTTCTCTGTCTGCTCTGCAATCTTGACCTTGGCCTGGGGGTGCAGTAGGAGGATGTTAGGCCCAGGTACACTGACAAAGAGCAGAAGACAGAGGTGGATGGAAGTAGGGGCCAGGCCTGGGAAAGGTGGAAGAGATAGGGGGCAGGCCCGAGGCAGGTAGGAAGAGGCAGTTGTCCACCTGGATCTCAGCAGCCTTCATTTTGGATGCTTCTAGCACTTTGATGAGCTCCATGTCATCCACAGGGTTGCCCTCAGAGGAGCTGAGCCGGTATAGGATCTGGTCTTCAATGTCCTTTAGTTCCTGACGCATCTTGGCATTACTGATAATCAGCTGGTTCTTGGCCTCCTCCAGGTCTGGTCGCTCTTCAGCCACTACCTGGCCCAGCAGCTGGTCCTCCAGGCCACTGCCAGGGTCAGGAGGCACCATGTTGTAACACCTGGTGAGCCCCAGAGGGCCAACTTTGAGCCTGCTCACTTATCTGCCTCTGTCCCCGGGGCTCCAAGAGCCCAGCATCCTACCAGTGTCCACCTGGAGGGCCTGGGCTCCATCACAGGCTGTGGGCTAGTACACAGCTCAGCGAGACCTCAGGTGGCACCCCAGAACCCAGTAGTCTGGAACTCCAGTGAGAACTGGCCAGTTGGACCTCAAGTCTCTGAACAGTTCTTCCCCAAAGGAGGGGGCTATAGGTGATAGGTTTCCAGCGCCTTTGTACCCACGGACTTGTGGAGAGCCTCATAGTGGCCATGGAAATGTCAGTGTTGGTGCTGAGCAGGCCTGTGGGGCGAGGGTGAGAGTTCTAAGGTGGAAACTGGCAGGTCAGAGGAGCTGGTAGAGGGGATGCCAGTGCCTGGAAGGAAGCTGGTAGAGCCACTGAGTGGCTACCCAGCCTGGAATAGCCAAGCAGCAGCCAGGCAGGAGGAGGTAGAGTGGATGCTTGGGTCCCTCAGGGATGGGGACTTACCTGGGCGACAGGGTGAAGTTGATGAGGGTGAGTTTGGTGGAGATCTCGGGTGTGTAGTGTGGGTTGGGCAGCTTGGTGGTGATGTACATCCTGAAGTCCTCATGGTAGGGGATCACTGTATCCCCCAGCCTCAGCACTGTGTTCCCCTGCTGCTTGTATGTCTGTGATGGGTGGAACAGGCCGGTGCTGGGGCCTGAGCTGTGCCAGTATGGTGTGGACAGCTCCCTGCCCAGTGCTATAGCCCTGTTCTGCCCCCCACAGGCCCACCTGCTTAAGCAGCACAGGCTCCAGAGCTGGGTCAAGCTCCTCGCCCACATTCTCCAGAAGGCATGGCTTGCCAAAGCGGATGGCATTCTCCATGCTGCGCAGGAAGTCACGGTCACTCAGCTTAAACACATCCAGCCCATTGTCCTTCTCCTGCAAGGGAAAGAGATAGGTGTGGACAGGAAGGCCGAGAGCCAGGCTGAGGCTGCTTCCCCTGCACCTGCCGACGCCGGCTGTGTTGGCAGGTGGGCTCACCATGTTCTTGATCCATTTGTTGGCCTGGCCCTGGGGGTCAATGAAGTGAGTCCAGCGCTGGGAGAACTGGTTGATGACCCCGTTCTCCACTGACAAAGTGTCATTGGGAAGGCCAGCAATCTGTGGAAGGCCAGATGTCAGAGTGGGTCAGGGCTCTTTCTGAGCAGGACCCTGGTGTGAACTACTCCCAACCTCAGGCTTTGGCTTTGAACATGACTCTTTGTATTGCACCCTTTGGATGTGTGTGGGGGGTGCAAGTGACAGTGTGGGCAAAGTCTTGGTCCCCAAGATCCCTGCCTCTCTTGTGCTCCTGATGCCCTCTTTTGCTGGGCACTTGTGTCCTGATGCTTGCTGAGTCCTCATCCAGTGGCACCACCTTCATGGAGCCCACACCCCATTCGCCCTCCTGCCTGGCCTTTGCCCTTGCTTGGCCTCTGCCTATGGGACATGACTTCTTTTAGGAAATCTTTACCCGGACAGTTCTGCTATGCCACCCCACACCCCACACTCTTAGCTAGCATTTGTGCCCTCTTGATCTAGCTTCTCTCTCTCTCCTACCCACCACCCTCTTGCAGGACCCAGGAATATTCAGTAGAGGCACCTTCAAGTCTGGCCCCAGAAGGGAGAGTGGGAGGGAGGCAGGAGGCTCCTGGCCTAGCTGGACCACACTGCAGCCCAGCCTGGTTTGTCCCAGCCCCCTGGGGTAGGCACCTGCCATGAGCGGATCTTCACGGGGTTCCCCAGCGTTCCAATTAGCGTGGGCTCAGAAGTGTGTGGTACATGATGGACTATAAGCTGCTTGACCCACTGGTCGTAGAGTGCTGTGCGATACTGACCCTAAGGAGATGCCAGACACCGGGCTATCACACCAGACACCATGGCCCTCCCTCCCTCCTGCTACATCATAGCTTGGCAGATGCCCACAAGGTCAGAGCTCGGGTATGGAAACAGATGCCTGCATTCTAGTCCCACTTGGGGTGACTTGCTTGGATTCACACACCTCAGCTATAAGGCAAGGTAATGGCAACAATGTCCACCTGTATGGTGACTGGAAGGATTACGTGGGAGCCACCACGAAGTGTGTGAGTGTTGGAGCAGTGCGTGGCACAGACAGGTACATGTGTGCGCTCTCACATGTTCCCCTAGAAGGCCAGTTCCTTGAGAATGGCGCCTCTGGCCCTTCTGCACACTGCTGTGTCCCCAGCACCTGGCTCACAGAGGTGGCCTACCACAGGCTTGCTGAATGAGACAGGGAAGGAGAGGCCGCCACCAGGCTGCCCTTGGAGGTGAGGCCCCAGGGAAGGCTCTCTGGGAGAGGAGACTCATCAGAGGAAAATCTTCTGCTTACCGTGAAGGGGCCCAGGTAGGCCACAAAGCCGGCAGCAACCAGCACGTTGCCCGATATGTTGTCAAGCATATTCTCCAGGTTCTCCACCGTCTCCTGCCAGCGCACCTTCTCATCCGACAGCCCGTTGATGAGCTGCAGAGGTGGCCCCATGGGGTGGGCTCTGGGAGGTTGTGCTGGGGGCTGCGGTGGATCCCCTGCTGCAGCCCTCATGATTGCTAAGGAGAGGGTATGGACAGCTACCACAGAACCCCCTCCCCAGGCCCTTCTGGGCCCTGTCAGGTGGCCATGCTCATGGGCCTCGTGGAAGAGCAGGACGCACCTTGTCAGCACGGCCCAGCCGCTGCTCACACTGCTCACACTTCATCTCCAGCTCTTCTTTCTTAGCAATGCATTCTCGGTACTTGGCCTGCATGGTGGCGATGCCACCCTCTACCTCACGCAGGCGATGCTTTGCCTCCTCCAGGATCCTTTGTGTCACCTCCAGGTCTTCCTGGGCCTCCCGCAAGGCTTGCTACCAGCAGAGGGTACAGGGCCAGCTTGCCTCTGAGTACCCTGGGGAGGGGAACCAGCCACCACCAGCTCTACCTGGTCCTCACCCGCTTGGGCTCCACAGCCTTGGCCACGAAGTGGTACTTGTGCATGGCCCGCACCCACTGGCAGATAGAGGTGCAGGCTTTGGACACCTTGGCGATGGCAGCTGGTTGGAACTCCTCGTTGTCGATGTACGGCTGGATGGCCTTGATCACAGTCTCTCCAATGTTGTCCTGGTGTGGAAATCATGGGCCTCAAGAGGCTGCTTCCCACACCTGATAGGAGAGGGGCTCTCCTGGGGGGTGGGGCCTCTGAGGGACCCCTGCCTCCTGCTTCTCTTCCGTATGTTCTGTGCAGACTTTAGCCCAGGGTCCTCCTTAAAGAGTAAGCACAATCTAGAAAGGCAGGCCAGACAAGGAACCTCTGTGTCCCAGGGATTTCACATAAATTCCCAGAAGCCTCAATCTGACAGTACACAAGGCCCCACTACAAAACTCACTGAAAGACAAGGGCTGCTTTCTGAGAGCAGTAGCTTGAGTGGATGTGAAAAGAGTGAGTGGTTCTGATGCTCCATCGATGGTTCTGATGAGCCTAGGAAGCTGCATTGCTAACAAGCTCCTGGAGCCAGAGCTAGGGCTGAGCCCAGGTTCCTGAGCAATGGCCCTGATCATGCCTGGCCTGCAGGCTTTTCTCACAATGGCTTGATTAGACCTGTAGGGCTCTGGTTTCCTGCCTAAAGGGAGAGGAAGAAGAATGGTGAAGCCCAAAGGGGGTCTAGCTGCTGCTGAGACCTGAGACCAGCCGCTGTCCCTAGTCTCCAAGCTCAGCATGGAAATGCCCAGCCCCTGCACTGACACGTGGTGGTGGAGGTGGCCCATATGGGTCAGGCAGCTGCTCCTTGGGCAATTTCCAGGATGGAGAGGGGCCCCCTGCAGGGAACTGTGGGCTCCTGGCTGACTTAACCGTGGGACAGCCCCCGAGAGGGCGCATGTCCAGACGGACAAAGAAATCCAGGGGAACACAGGGGAAGATGAAACTGAGGTGCTGAGGCTGAGGGACAAATGTGATGGTGGAGGTCTTGGTCAGTCAAGGCCATAGGGGCCCAGAGTGAAAAGGGCACAAAAAATTCCCAGGCTGTGGAGTCTTGGAGTGACTGTAGGTGACATGCTATGGGGCACAGGAGTCTGCTTTGGTTCTAATTTTCCCAATACCCATCGGTCGGTGGGTCTTCCTGTCACTCCATTAATATAGGAGATAGGGCATGGCAAAGCTGGCTGGGGGAAATGCGTGGAACCTGTCAATCACAAGATCCCCGGCTACACCAGGACCCCCTATGTAGAATTTCTGGTGAGCTCCCAGGAGATGTGGATGGCATTAAAAACCAGCCATCATGGTATAAAAGCCGCTATCGTGAGTTTCCACGATAGCCTGTGCCGTGTTTCTCAGATGTGGAAGTGTACTTTTGTTTTTGCTTTTACCCCCTTTTCTCCTTTGTTTGCCCCAAGCTTGTCCTGCAGAGCTGGTTTACTCCATACCCATTTATCTTGCACTTTTCAAATAAAATTTTGGCACTGTTTTTGGCTTGTCTCACCCAATTCTTTGTTTGAGGCAAGAAGGGCCTGTAATACTTTAGATTGGTGAGCCATTTCTGTCAAAACTACCCTAAAACACTACCTCTATGCTTCCCAGTCCCAGTCAGCCCTGTGGCCCTAGGGCTGTGTGTGCTGCTGGCAGGGGTGGGGCGGGCAGAGAGGGGATAAAGACCACAGCATGCAGACCCTGTGGTAGGGTAGACGCCTCTCCAGCTTCCCTGACCTGCTGGGTCCCAGCCTCCCCTGCTGGCTGGACCCAGTGCCTGCAATGCTCACCTTGTCAAACTTGAAGAGGCTCTCCAGGAAGCGACCTGGGTCCTGCAGCAGCCCCTTGCCTGGCTCCCAGTAGTCATCCACTTTGGTGCCTGGCTTGTCTCCAGCCACCTTCTTTGGCTTGATACCCTTCATGATGCACACAGCTTCTATGACTAGCTTCACGCCTGGGGGTGGCCGTTGCATGGCACGCACCTGCGGGGCCAGTCACAGGGTAGGGAGGAGGGTGGCCCATCACTGAGTAGCTCCTTCTGGTCAGGAACACTGCCAGACAGGAGGTGGCCACCAATCAATCCCCTACTGCTACAGAACCAAGAGCATGCCCAGAGATGATCTGAGGTCAGCTTCAGACTGAGGGCTGGCACGAGGAGGGCAGGGCATGCAGCTAGGGTCTAGCCCTAGTTTTGCCCTCACCTCTTGGCATGTGGCCCCCAAAGAATGTGCAGAGGGAGGGCCTAGAAACACCACTAGGCCCCGAGAGGGCATCAGAGAAGGATGACGTGGGAGTGACCAAGAGAAATTGTTACCCACCTCAGTCACATCGTTTTTGTTGAGGTTGCGCAGGCTGGCCAAGGCTGCATCTAAGGCTGGCAGTGCCTCATCCAGATCCTTCTGAGCATCATCAGCAATAGCTTGTGCCTTCCTGGCCTTCTCATTGGCTTTGATCTCCTCAGCCTGCACAGAATTCCTGGTCTCCTCAGCAATGGCTGTATCCGCCTTGGGGATGAGAGGACAGAAGAGCTCAGTGGTAGCAGCAAGCATGCCCTTCTCTCTGTTTCTGTCTCTGTCTCTCTGTCTCTCTCTCTCCTTTGCACCTCAGACTCCCCATAAGGAAGGAAAAGAAGGTTGGGAGTTCCATTCTCAAGGCATCTCCCAGTTGTGACAGGCTATAGAGATTGGGATGGCCAGGAGCCTTTTCTACACACTGAGCCCTTGTCACGGGCCTGGTGTGGGGCTCAGGGCTTTCCAGGTCTGAAGATACCTACCCCATAGGGAAGCTCCCAAGCACACAGGGCCCCTTCCTACATGCCAGAGAAAGGCACACCTCCCACCTTTCTTCTTGGAAAAAATTTGAAAAACCCTGGCTTTGAAAACACTTAAACACTTCTGCCTGAAAACTGTCTTAATGAATTCCAAGTGTGTGATGTTTACTGGGAGGACAGGGTCCTCAGATGTGCCCTTGTGCTATGCAGAATCTGCACATCTGCCTGTGGCAAGCCTCCCAGCAGTCTGTGCTGTGGTTATTAGCATTGTCTGGTGCTGTTTGGATTTATTTGCCTTGCTCTTTACCACTCTCAGCAAGTGCGTGGCATAAAATAATTCTGACTAAGCGTCTGTCAAGCGAATGAATAGCTACCGAATGAAGAAACTGAGGTACATGAAGGCTGACTGACTTGCTCAGGTCAGGTAGGAGGCAGTCTGTGGTTGTTTAGAGATGTTGTCCTCAGACAAGGCCAGGTATCTATCTAGGAGGAGAGTCTGGGAGCAGCCCCAACCTTGATCTGCTCCATGGTGTATATGGTGTCCTTGGCAGCCTCTTCCAGCAAGGGGCGCATGACCTCCAGCTCCTCTTGCATCTTGGACACGTCCTCAGAAGTGCGTAGTAACTGGGGGTAGGGCAGGATGGGGCGGGGGACATGGAAAGTAAAACAGATGTGACAGGGACCATAGAGAGAGTCAGGCCTGGTGGGTGCTGGGGAGAGCCTCCTGCTGGGCCACCCCCATACATGAGAAGGAGGCCATGGCAGCTCCAGTGGCCATCAGGTTGCTGAGCAGCTGCTAGAAAAAGGGGCCCATAGATTCCTCTGAGAATCTATAGGGTAATTAATGGCTTGCCTTTGGCTGATAAACTATTCTTTCACTGAGGGAGAAAGCCACTTGTTTAAAAACTGTGTGTTCCAATTGGAAATGCTGGGTCACCCTGGTACCAGGGCAGGGCCCCTGGCCACTGGCCCCTGTCCATGAGGCTTCTCCCAAGCCCACCTTGTCAAGGCCACTCTTCATGCGGTTTTTGGCAGTTTTCAGCTCCAGTTTCTTCTGCCCGATGAGGATGGAGAAAATATTGAGCAGTTCCAAATAGCTCTTGGGGGTCACATAGTTGTGGCGGGCCAGCTCTGCCAGGTACTCGACACACTTCTTCGACACTGACAGGTGTATATGCACGCAAACCTGAATCTGTGAAGAGGAGGACATAGTTGATGTCCTCCAGGTTTTGTGGCAATCCCAGCAAAGACAGGGCACTTGGGGCCCCCAAAGTCACTGTAGCCTGGTCCTGAGGAGGGACCCATAGAAGGAACTTGCATCCTTACACTCACTGTTTCTTTTTTTTTTTTTTTGGTTTTTCTCTGTTACTGGGAACGGAACTCACGACCTTGCGCTTGCCAGGCAGGTGCTTTTTGCCGCTGAGCTAAATCCCCAGCCCTACACTCACTGTTTCTTAAGATTTTTACAAACTTCAGGTCAAGGGCACCTCTTATGCAGATGAAAAACCCAAGGCCCAGAGGAGTCAGGGTAGAGCTGGCTTTGAACACAGACCGAGCTGCCTCCAAGCTGTGGCCCAGTGCCCTTGTCACAGCTCCCATGGCCTTCCTGTCTCTGAAAGCCCCAAAGTGGTGTCCTGCAGAGGCTGGACCCAGAGCAAGGCCTGAGCAGAGATGGGCAGGGAACTGTTGGCTTCATCTTGCCCTTGGCCCAGGGGGACCTCACTCTCTGGGGTCAGACCAGACAAATGTAGCTCACCCCATCTGTGGTCTCTGGAGTTGTGTCAGGGGACTCTTGGAAGAAAGCTGCCATGAAACACTCAGGAAATCAGGGAAGCTGTAACCGTATAGCTGTGTGCTGAGTATCAGTGTCACTGTAATGACCGTGGCACTCTTTGCTTTACAGATGAAGAAACTGAACTTTAGATAGGTAAGGCTGTCTGACGGAAAGGCTAACTTGTAGTGGGCCTGGGAGTCTGATCTAGGCCTCAGGGACCCCAAGTCCATGCCCAAAATAAGACAGTTCTCCCCAGGGCTTGCTCCTCACCAAGACACCTACCAGTCCTTCAATTGTTTCGGAGGAAGATTCCAGTTCTGGGATCTCGTTCAGGAATGTGGCAGCCACAGACTCCAGGGCCTCTGCTGGCCACTCATTAAACCAGTCAATGGTACAGCAGTTGACGAGGGAGGGGAACTGCCTCAGGCGAGCTCGGAAGACCTCTCCAATGGGGCTGGGGGAGCCAGGCACCCAAATGAGGCCCAAGGACACCGACTTAGGACCCCAAGAACCGTGGACTCAGGGCCCTTCCTCAGCCCTGTGGCATGGCCATCAGGACATACCAGCAGCCTGGTCCCAGTGGCATGATGGCCAGGCCCAGGGGCACTTCTCATCTCAGGCCTAAGTACCCAGGCCTCCTGAACCCCAGAGGCCGGCCCCCTGCTCAGCCTTGTGGCCCCAGCAAGCCTGCTTCTACCTCATGCACAGCACCATGTGGATGTTGCTGCGTACACGCCCAGTGTAGGCAGCCATGAGGTTGGCCTTGGTGGGCTGCAGGCCCTGCTCCTGGACATAGCTTCGCATAGCGTTGACAATCTGGTCCTGCTCATCCAGGTTGTAAAGGTTGGGAATGTCGCCTGAGTTCAGGACATTGTTGATATCCTCTAGGAAGGACTCATTCTTGATCTAGGGAAAGGCAACGAGAGGTGCTAAGCTGTTATGGTGGTCCCTTGTGCAGGCCATCTCACCGGACCTCCACAACAGCCCTATTGAGAGACCCTGCCACTGAATCTCAGAGAAGCCTAGGGTCCCTCAAGCGACTTCATAAGTAGCTCAGGATTTATGCCTAGGCCTGCCCCACCTTCAGAGTGCTGAAGAGGACACCTGGGCTGTGGCAGGGCCCCAAGTCCAGGTGAAGGGTGTGATTTCTTCCTGCTCACTTTCTGGCCTCCCTCAAGGCCTCAGTTTACCCACAGGTGGAAACCATGGCTATAGGCAAGGACACCTAGCCTGTGTCAAAGGGCACCCTCACTTTCCCGACTCAGTCAGTGACCTCCTGAAGGGAGCCCTGGGGTTGGGACGGGGATGGAGCAGAGCAGCCTTTACTCTGGGTAGGTCACTTTCTGGGCCTTCAGCCCCAGGCTCAACCCTGACGGCCAGCCGAGTTTAAGAGCTGCACTATTTGTCTTGTGGCTTTGGGATCAACCTCTCTTTCATTCAGAGACCTGGGGAGAGGTCTTATACCCAGTAAGTCCCGGAGAGAGCAGCCCCAAAGAGAGGAGCCATGAGTCCCTAGTACTTTGGGCATAAGCCCCATGTCCTTAAGGTGGGAAGCTGTTGGCCAGTGAGAGGTATGCCCTGGCACTGGGAGGCCTTTTTACTCTTGGAGCATGAGTCATGTCCCCCTTAGCTCTGTGACCCCACCTGGTCCTGCCCGTCCTCCTCAGATCTGCCTTGACTGCGTGTGCTGGGCGAGAGGGACTGACCACCTTGCAGGATGCCAAGGGATGGCACTGTGTCCAGCCCACCCTGAGACCTGCCCCCTGCCACTGTGGCAGTACCTGGGTGTCTGAGAACAAGAAGGTGATGGGCAGGTTGTGCAGGCCAGCTTTGAGCAGGACCTTCTTGACATCCTCACGCCACTCGGACATGCCGTAGTTCTTGGAGAGCTCGATCTGGAAGCACTCGTACTCAGCCCTGGAAGCGGGAGTTCGAGTCAAGCCATGCCAGATCATGATGAGCGGCGGGTGCTCAAACTCCATCCAGCCATCTGAAACCTTGCTTTTATCTGGGCAGACTTGCAGGCCCTCCAGGCCCTGGACCTGCTCTCTTGCCCCTAGACCTTTGCTCAACCTATTCCCTCAGCCTGGAATAGCCTCTCCTTCTATCCTCCCAGCTCTGATTCTGGGAGCAGGCCTACAGATACCTCCTCCAGGAGGCCCTCTAGGATGCCAGCATCCTCCCTCCCCACAGCAGCGCAGGGCACTGTAGCTGCCGCTCCTGGGAGTCCAGGTCCTGTCCCAGTCCTTCAGAAACCTGTAAGCCTCAGGGTTCCACTGTGGAAAAGCATCAGTCAAGCTTCCAGTCTGCCACCAGCTGCCCACTGCCCACCATGCCTAAGGGTCCTCACATGTGTGAGGCGAGCCGCGTGAGGGAGCTGCGGCCACTGCCACCCACGCCCAGCAGGAGGGCGTTGCCTAGTGCCTGGCGCAGAGTTCGGCTGATGCGGCAGATGTGGCTCATGGCGTCCATGAAGAGGACCAGCTTCAGCTTGGCTGTGTTGATCTGGTTGTAGTCCTCCATGTACTCCTCAATCACCTGCATCATCTGAGAATGGAGGGGGTGTGGCTGGCTCTCCACTGTGGGGTCTCCCTGCCTCTCCACCCCCCTGCTCTGTCCTGTCTGGGAATCGCACAGTGGCTGACCACTCTGGCTGGCCAGCTGCGCGGGCTCCCCAGCAGGCTTGAATCCAAGCTGGAGCCTTGAACATTTCCAGGCATTGATGAACTGGCTTACGTTGTTACTTGAAACGCTGAAAACCCCCCATATCGCTCCATGTGTAGAAGCCAGCTCTGCCCCTGCCAAATTCCCTATGCTGTTACATAAACTCCATCACTCACCTCTGTCTCTTTAGTAGACAAACTAGAATATTTCTTGTTTAATGGTGCACCATGAGGAATCTGTAGACCCCTCTGCTTGTAAGGTTCCCTGATAAACGCTTCAGACTGATCACCCTAGGATCTGTCACTCTTTTCTTTGGAATCCCAACTGGCCATATTGGAATCTCCCTGCTGTCACTTGTGCAACTCCAGCTATAGTTTGGCTGGTTGGAACCCTGTGTACCAAGGCCCTTCCTAAGGAGATATTCACCCCTCCCACAGGAAGCCCTGCTCTTTCCTTGCACGGAGCAATGCCAGCTTTGAGAAGCCAGGTCTCGTTGGGTGTGCTGACATACACTTGTAATCCCAGTTCCTTGAGAGGCTGAGATAGGAAGATCAAAAGCTTGAGCACAGCTTACACAACTAATGACTTATGGAGACTCTGTCTCAAATAAAAAATAAGGACTGAAAGTGTAGTTCTGGGCCCACTCTCTACAAACCAGATCTTCCTGAAAGGGGCCTGATGTACTAGACATGACTAGGCCTGAGGGTCAGAGCCCTGGTTACTTCCTCTGGGTCCTACCAAGTTATACTGACCCTGGAACCCCAGTGCGGGCACCTGGGAACTAAGGGAAGATGTATGTGCAGAAGGAAACAACTGGGCGGCCCCCTTCCACGAGCAGCTCTGAGGCCCGCGATGGAGGCCTCAACCCTGCCTCCCTGGGTCCCAGCTGAGAGCTGTGGTCCAAGAGGCCCTGCTGTCCCTCTGTGGGTGGGAACGATAATCCCTCAAATGGGCCTAGTGTGTCCCTGTTTACAGGGTCTGTCTCGGGTGAGCCACGAGCTTGTCAGAGATGGGCAGAGCAGGGCCTGCTGGCTGCACCCATGCAACAGTAAGGCAATGAAGGAAATGAAGCCTCCGAGAGGCTAAGAGCTTGCCTGACTGTCCTGCCCGTCGGGTCTAGTGCACCGCCCTGTTAGCAGTGTCTGCAGAGGGCCAGCACCCCAGCGGGCAGACTGAAGAGGGCCCACTGGGATACGGCACCAGCACGAATCCCCTCACCTTTTTCTCATTGGTGATGAGCTCGTAGGACTTCACATCTGAGCCTGGTGACATGAAGTCCCCATAGAGAATAGGCTGGAAGATGCAGACCTCATCAAAGGTCACCTCCCACTGCTCCATGTGGCTCTTGAGTAGCTGGTCGAACCAGCTGCGGTCCTCCTCATTGACCAGCCGGTCGCGGAACACGCGGCAGTTCTCGTGATACCACAGTCGTAGCAGCTGCACCTTGTCCTGCAGGCACCCAGCGATCAGGGGCCAGGGTTAAAGGGGACGGGGAGGAGCTGCAGTTCCTGGGCCCCTGAATGGGGCCTGACTCTCCCACCTCAGCCCAGCTGGGGCCCCAAGCAGGGGCTGTTGGGAGGTGACCAAGGACTGAGCGAGCCGCTCAGTGCTACCTGGGCTTCCCCACCCTCAGCCCCAGGCCCAGATGCCCAAGTGTCACTGGGTACACAGCCCCAGTAGCTGATCATGAGCACCTCAAAGTCGTTCTTTCCCCTCTTTTAGCTGTCCAAGCCCAAACCCAGGAAGGAGGTCTGATTCTCCTTACACCTTTCCTGACACCCCACATATAACCACTCACCAAGCCCCTAAAATCTCCTCTGAATCTGATCCCCCACCTCTCCAGCTCCAGCCCAGTTTCTCTGTCTCTCCCAGGGTGACTGGACCACCCATCAGGAAGCTCCTGGGCTCTTCTCTGACTCCTTTGATTAGTAAGCTCAACAAGGCCAGGGCCGGCTGCTGTCCTGTCTCCCCCTCTCCCCAGCCCTGGGCTGCACATAGTAGCTGTCTGGTCAGTGGGTCCACATGGCTCCCTGCCATCCTTAGGACAAAAGTTGAGCTCCAGGGGCTGGGGATTTAGCTCAGCGGCACAGCGCCTGCCTGGCAAGTGCAAGGTCATGAGTTCGATTCCCGGTACCAGAAAAAAACAAAAACAAACAAACAAACAAAAAGCTGAGCTCCAGACTGGACCTTCACAGCCTCCAGAGTCTGGCCGCAGTGCTTCCCATAACACCTGATACCTCACTCTCTGCTACATTTTCTTCTCATGCTCTTGGGTGTCTTTGGTTCCTGAAGGCACCTTGTTCACTTACACCATGCTTCTGCCAGAAACTTGCTGTTACTTACCCTGGCTCCCTCTATTGTGTGACCCCTACCCACGTCACCATTCCAGGGATCGCTTGGCCCCACAAATAGGGATCAGTTACACAAGGGGAAGTTTCTTGGAGGCCTGGAACCTGCCTGTCCAATTCCCAACAGGGCCTGCCAAGATCACGGCTGAGGAGTATTTGGGAACAAAAGCCTAAAATGGAGGGGCAGGGGCAGCAAAGATGGTGAGGACAGAGTGAGGACTGGGGAGAGCGCTCGCCAGACACTCACCTCTACCTTGGCTGGGTCAGCCATGAGCATGCCTTGGAAGACCTTGGAGAGGTCCCTCAGGTTGAAGGTGTAGTGAGACTTGGCTGGAGTGGGCAGCAGCTGGGAGGTGATGGTGGCGTATACCATGACGGTGGCTTCCACGAGAGGATCCACGAAGGGGGCGATGTGGGGGGCCCCAGCTGTGGGGACAGGAGAGTGTCCTGGGTCGCAAAGGTGGGCGCTCTCAGTGCAACCTCTGCAGATCCTAACCTCCTTGCCTTGGCTAGTGCCGGGCTCTTTCTCCAGCTGCCCCTCCTCAGCCGGAAGGCTTGGGCTCCACTCACCCCTCACCCCCATCTCAGTTGCTCCATTCTCCACAGGGGCTTCCTAATGCCCCCACCTCAGTCGGAATCTGGTGCTCTGTGCGCCTCCCTTTTAATCCTCATTACTGACCTGGCTTAGTGTGTCCTGGGGCTCTAAGATGCCTCAGTGTTGCGTGTGCTCATGGGCTCTGCTTGGTAGAGCCCTCACTGCCCTGCTGTGTAAGCTTGTGCCAAGACTTCAACCTTCCACCTCTAGGGAGGAGCCAGTGGGTCTACACAGGTGTCAAGAGTGCTTAGTGGTGGACGTGGGGTGACCTGGAGCTCAGGCCTGACCTTAGGGGCTCACCACCCTCCTCAGAGCTGCAGTTGCTTGTTCTTTGAAAACTATCCAGTTCTTTACTGCAAACCAAAATTCCTTCAGTGGGAACTTGGGATAGAGGAAGACCCCAGAAGTGGGAAAAGGCCAGAAAGGGGCAGGAGAGGGGCTTATGGGTGAGTACTGAGTACTCACGCTCAGCAAGTGGACGTTCTTGCTGGAGACCTGCACAATGAACAGGTCCACAAGCGAAGGAGACAAGGGGCCAGGTGACGAGTGGTGTGGAGAGACATGCAGTAGCAAAGAGGTGTGGGGAAGGACAAGGTCAGGCTTCACAGCTGACTCCAGAAAAGCTGAGAGGGGCCGAGCTGAAGCGGAGGACTTTCAAGCCAAGAAAGAAAGAGCGAATGCAAGCAGGCACTGTGCAACTAGAGAAACCGTGCTCCAGCAGAGGGAGTCAGGGCCAGACGCCTGGAGGCGGGCGCATGTCTGGGGCGCTGAGGAGCTGAGCTGGAGGAGATGGAGTCAGAGAGTGGCTGAGGGATGAACTGAGCACAGCTTTGCCTGCCACCTTGGGGCTTGGGCTCCCGCTGGGATATGGTTGAGCAGGGGAGGAACTTGGTCTGACTTAATGGTGTATGATCCCTTGAGATGGAGGGTAGCGAGTAGGGAGGTGAATGCAGAAACAAGACCAGGAAAGGGGCTTCTGGCAGCGGCGGGGTAAGTGCGGGCCGCTGAGCAGTGACTGATTTTGGACTCTGCAGGGAGGACCTTCGGGGCTTCTGACAGATAGGATGAGGCGTGAGAGGAAGAGGGGTGGAGGATGGTGCCAAGGTTTTTTTTTTTTTTTTTTTTTGAGATGGCATCTTGCAGCTGAGCGAATGGGAGAGGAGGTGGACATGAGGACAGGGCAGGGCCTGAAAAGAACCATTGCTATGCAGTGATGACCAACAGATCAGAGTTGCACGAGGCCACCACATGAGAGATGCCTGTGCCCCGGCTGCACATCAGCCCTGCCCTCCTACTCATACCTGCTCCTTGGAGCAGGCCTGCTTTCTTCTGAGCTCTGGCTCTTCCCACGGCGCAGGAGTTTGCTGAGTTCCTTTATTCATTCTCTCTTTCTTTCTTTCTTTCTTTCTTTCTTTCTTTCTTTCTTTTTTAGTCTTTTTGAGACAGGGTCTCACTATGAAGTTCAGGCTGGCCTTGAACTCCCAGTGATCCTCCTGCCTCAGCCTCCCAAGTTCTGGGATTACAGGCATGAGCCTTCATGCCTGGATTTTTTTTTTTTTTTTTTTTGTGAGACAGAGTCTCACTATGTAGTTCAGGCTGGCCTTGAACTCCCATGTAGCCCAGGCTGGCCTCGAACTCACAGCAATCCTCCTGTCTCAGCCTCCCAAGTGCTGGAATTAGAGGTGTGCACCACCATGCCCAGCTCATTCTTTCATCTTGCATTAACTTTGTACCCACTATCAGTCAGACACTACCCTAGGCACTGATGGCTGTAAGAACAAGGCTGAATGAGCCTATGAGGGCAGTCGCTCTGCCGCACTATGAGCCTAAGGATGGGTTCCCTGTGGACCCTGGTTCTAGCCACAGAATGCCTAAGCAGAGCTCAGGGCTCACCCGCTTCCTTCCCTGCAGCCCTGCAGGCCCCTGCTCAGCTGCACTTACGCACAGGCTCTCGGTAACTTCTTTCTCCAAGGAGTCCATCTAGAAGGAGAGATGCAGGGCTCAGAGTTAGGCAGCTAGATGTGCCCAGGTGGGAAGCTCCTGAAGCAGCCACAGACTAGCCCCTGTCCCCCCTAAGGGCAAAGATCCCCCTTCACCCCCAAGCTGGACATGCAGGAACGTCATAACCTATTGTTCCTGTGAGCAGGGCAGGACAGGCTAGAGGAGGAAATGCTTGAATTTCATCGCTTACCACCCGGCTCAGGGCCAAGTGGAGTTTGAGGTCAGATGTGTGCAGGGAAGGAGGTGGGTTGGTGGGAGACAGCATCCTGTGGGGGACTTTTCCTCAAGCCCCAGGAAGGGTCAGGCCCACTTTACCCATTTCTGTGCTGGTGGCTTTCCTGATTTATAAAAGGAACATCTTCCCACCTGAGCTTTAGGACAAATACTAATATACATATATATATATATGTGTTGAATGCTTATAGGTCCATATGTGTCTATCATCTATTCAGCCGGGCTTTCTGCCAGATGCTTTGCGTCTTGCATCTGCCTTAACCTCACAAAAGCAACTAAGGCTCAGAGCAGCTCAAGCTTGCAAAAGGTGACAGCTGAGTAAGGGTGGAAGCTGGGGCTGCTGTTCGTGATTAAGTTGCTTGGTCCTTCCCAGTAGCCACTCACCTGTCCCTGGTGTGACCTGGGCTTCTGCCTTTGCCCATGGCCTCTCTTGCCTGCACTGTACTCACCTACCCAAGAGCTCAGGATGGTGGAGAAGATGCGTTTCTTGCTGCCCTCGTCCATCTCGGCAAAGGACAGGTAGTTGAAGTGACGTGTCAGCCTTGGGGTGATGGCATTCCTGCCACCGCCTGGAGGGCCCATGGCACAGACAAAGTTGATGTCCACCAGGTTCTTGAAGGCTCCTGAATAGGAGCAGGATGTCAGAAAGGACCCTGACTGCATTATAATTTTTTGTTTGTTGGTTTTCTTCCTTCTCGTGAAGAATATATATTAAAATTATAATTTACAACAGTATTGGTATAAAGACAATAGATTTAAATTTTTTTCTTTGCCCTAAAAGCTCATTTCCTCTGATTTTCAGAGAAATGGAGACATTTTTATGGGCCCCTAAGTGCTACGAGACCTTCAGCAGCCCACACCTCTCATCTCCTGCCTAGTCCATGCCCCAGCCCGGCACATACCAATGATCTTGCGGTCGTACCAGCCTCCATGGTCCATCCATTGCCGCAGCAGCTCAATGGGTGGCTGTGCGCCATAGGTTTCCAGGGCTGGCATGTTCAGGTCATCAATGAAGAAGATGAAGGTGCGCCCCAGGGGTGGCCCAAACACACCTTTCCGCCTGTGTGGGGGGTGTGTGGGTGAGCCCAGCACCTGTGGGCACCAGGTCTTCCAAGAAATCAAGAGACAGCAAGGTGATACCTTACAAGATTTCAGCCTCAACACTGTTAGATCTCGTAAAGCCCTCCACCTTTCTCTGGGTAACCTGAGACATTATGGATGTTATGGACTGGCTGACCTGCATGTGACCTCCCTTAATGGAGTCTTGCCCTTCGGGCAGGTAGATAATAGTGATGGGCATCTGCTCAGTGCCCAGACCGGGATAAGCCTTGGAAAACCTTAGGGGAAAGGCCTTGAAACAGTCTTTAAGGGATCTCAGGGCCCCTTGGGAGCCCTGGCCTCTGCCTGGGAGGCTTCTGGTAAACCCAGGAGTATAATTTAGTGAGGAGATGAGACAGGAGCTGGTTCAGCCAGGCCCAGGACACTGGGCTGAGGAGGGAATGAGGGGTGCCCTGCCTCTTGTCCAGCTTGCTGTCGATGAGGTCCTGGGTCTGGTTGGCTGAAGTGCGGGCTGAGAAGGTGAGGAAGTGGCTGATGTACTCCAGCGGCAGGTTCTTGAGGAGCTTGTCAGAGATGGTAAGTGTCTTCCCTGTGCCAGTTGGCCCAATACACAGCACCTGGAGAGCGGGGCTGGGGCAGGCTGAGTGCACACAGAGCTGGTGCACAGAGGGGCTACCGCCTTGTCAGCATACGAGGCTAGCCATCCCTCAACGGGCCTCGGGGCAGGCTGAGGCAGGGTGCGGTGGGGGTACTCACGGGCTTGTGGTTGGTGAGCAGCATGCCTAGCAGGTAGGACATCTGCACCGTGTCCATGGTGGGCACGATGATGTTGCAGTAGTTGGTATCTGGAATCATGGTGAATGAAGCCGAGGAGTCCATCCACTTCACCCAGGCCACCTGAAACCATACATAACTCAGGATGGGCCCGGAATCTCTTCCCACCCCACTCCCTGCACTTGGCAGTGGGAGGGCAAGGAACCGCAACTGCTGGGCCTTGGCACGAGGCCCAGGTGAGGTTCTACTTCTGAAAGAAACAGGAGTACCAGTTCCTGCTCTCTGCACAGGGTGGGAGACTCCCAGCACAAACCACCAGGAATAGGGGCTCTCAGCACACAGCTGTGCAGGTGGGAGGTGGCACCCTAGGGACTATCAGCACCTGGGCCTCTGCAAAGAGGAGATGCTCTGGGAATCGGACCACCCAGATTCCAAAGGTGCTTGCCGTTTAGTTTCAACCTAAAGGAGTGTGAAGGCCAGAGTCAAGGGTACCTGTACCAGCTGGATGCGGAGAGTCTACCTGGCTGGGTCTTCCCACCCCATTGCCTACATGAATCTCTTCACCCACAGCTTTGACCCAGCTGGCTGAACTCTTGATGAGGGGGCTTATCATGGCCAAACCAACATGTCCCACAGAGGACAGTTCTGACCAGTAGGCCTCGATGTGCCATGTGAGCCCTTGGCAGGACTCTGCACAATGGCTTTCAGACCTCTACCGACCCTTTCTGTTCTCCTCCTCCGGGGCAGGGGTCCTGACCTTGGAGGAGGGCACATGGGGCACTTGCTGGCTGATAGGAGGAAGGGGGAAAATGAGGTAGAGCACAGAGCTTGCTCCTGGGTCCTTAGGGAGCTCAGTCCCTGGATAAATGGGGGCTTTGAAGTAGAGCCAAGGCAGCGATCCTGGGGCTGAACATGGACACAGAGGAAGTGCGTGTGGTGGGGAAGGGAGGCACGTTGAAGTCTCCCACCCCCGGTTCGAGTCCAGCTCTGCCACTGACTAGAAGAGTACAACTATTGTGAACCTTAATTTCCTGTCTGGAAAAGAGGCACAATAAAACCATACAGTAGGGCTGAGAGGACCCAGGAGGTGATACAAATAACCAGCTGCCTAAGACCTGGGCCACTGGTGTGGCTTTCTCTCTATGGCCCTCATTCCTCGAGGAGAATAACCACTGCCTGGTGGGGCCCTCCCCACCCTGGACCCTGGGCAGGCCTGTGGCCACCTGTTTGCCCTCCTCCTCTTCTTCGTCATCATCGTCAATGTTGCTGATCCCAGTGTCCTCCAACCTGTAATCGAACACCTGTCCCTCTCCTGGGAAGTGCAGGGTCACCTGTGGGATCACAAAGGAACGCAGCTCATGAGGCCCGGCGGATCTGCTTGCTACGGGACCTGGGTGACCTGGCCTGGGGGTGCTGCCTCTCACATTTTCACTTATCATCTTGATCCTGAGCCAGTTGCTGAATTTCATGCGACTGTTGCTGTCTCCTGTGGCACCCACACTCCAGACCAAGGAGAAGATGAACCAGGGCTCTATCAGCTCTGGGATGCGGTTCAGTTTTTCAGGGGACATCTTCTTGAGGCCCTGGGGACAGAGGGAGTAGCATCACGGTAAACGGGGGACAGCACTGGGCGGCCTAAGGAAATGGGCTGGGACATGTCATGGCTTTGCTTCTCTACAGCACTTTGGACTCAGTGGTCTCACGGCCTACGTTGAGCCAATCTTATTCCTATTTCAGAAAGCTAGACTGGGGATCCAGGGGTCTCAGGTAGCCCAGCAAGGAGAGTAGGGCAAGAGGGCTGCAGCCCCACCGTTTGGGGCTATACCTCTTTAGGCAGAAAGGGCTTGAAGAAACAGTCAAGCAGCTTGAGGAGGCTCACAGTCAGGTTGCTGTTGGTTGAGGTAATCACCTCCTTCACCGAGGAACGAACGAAGGAGATGGACTCCTACAGGGAGTAAGCACCTGGCTGTCATGGCTGGTGGGCACAGTGCCCTGCTGCCTACCTCGCTGGCTGTACCCGTGGCCTCGCTTACCTCCAGGAAGCTGACAAAGAGTGTCCTGAAATGCTCCTCATAGGGCTTTATCAAGGAAGGGAGCTTCTTTAGCCAGCACTCAACAAAGGGCATGAGCCCCAGGATGCTGGGCTCCAGGTACACCATGCCACAGCGGGACACTGTGGCCGGGGAGGCCACCGCAAGGTCCTGCACCTCGAACATCATCGTCATCGCCTGGTACCGAAATGAACCATGGGAATGGGTCAGCTGACAGAGCCAGAGAAAGGGTGTGGAGGCATGGGGAGGGGCTGACCATCCAGGCAGAGGGATCTGTGGGCAGGGCTGAAGTGGGGGTACAGGAACCCCTGGGCTGTAATGTAATATGGTAATGTGGCTGGTAACATAGTCTTCCCTGGATCCCTGAAGAGGAGCCAAAGTTGGGAGATTCCTGGGATTCTTTGGCCAGCCTGGGTCCCTGGAGACCTGGCAACCCTGCCAGGAACTGTATACTCTGCTTCAGGGCCCCCCACCGTGCACACAGCTCTGCAGTAATTGCCAGGTACTCTCAGAGCAACTCAGAGCTCAGCTCTGTACTCTCACGCCCAGGCCATAGCCCTCTTTCTCGAGAACTGCTCCTCACATGCCATGCAAGTACCTGTGGGCAGGTTTATGCCCCCTATCCCCAGACACTGGGTGTGTTGCCAGGCCTGGGTGTTTACATGGTCCAGACCGGGGTTAATATGGCTGAAGTGGGCCTGGAAGGCCTGAGGCAGCCCTCATGGAATGTCACAGGAAGCAGGTCTGCTGAAGGGACAGTGCCGAGGACGCAGGACATGGTCGAGGTGAGGGCCGTCGGGGTTGGGAAGAGGAACTGGGAGCTGAGTCTGAGCTCCTGCTGGGTGATAGCCTGAGATGCAGCTGTGGCCCTGAGAGGCAGGGGCCGAGCGGTGAAGGCTTGGCCAGCGTAGCTTGGCCTCGGAGCGCCCCCAGCTGTGGGAGAGGGTGTGGGCGGGAAGGTGGGCGCACCTCTGTGAGCTTGATGATCTCCCCAGAGCTGAGGCACAGCTTCTTGTTGTCGTCCAGCACCGTGTTCATGTTCTCGATCCAGACAGCATCGACCGGCCCGTCGAACATGTACCACTTCTTGTTGGTGTCAGGGGCGATGGCCCCCGCCCGGATGAGGGAAGGGAAGATCCCATCCGTCCTGCAGCCACCGGGGAGGAGAGGGCTGTAGGTACCAGGAGGGAGGGAGCGTACAGGGCTCCCAGGGAAGCCTGGCTGACCGACTGGGCCCCATCTGCACTTTTTTCTCCTTCAGTGTCTTCATTTTTTTGTTGTTGTTTTAACAAATTACAATAAGAAAAAGGGGACTTTTTGCCGTCACTTGGTGCAGTGAAAACAGGCTTATATCCCCTCCCTGCTAAATCCCCATGAAATCACATTAAGGTACCCCGACAGGAAAAAGGGAACTGGGGGGGGGGGCGGTAACAGAGATGGAGGAGCACACAATTCTGGAAGGAGGAAAGAGCTGGAGAAGGGTCGGGCCCTGCCGCAGAGTCAGGAAGGCTCTGACTTCAGAGGGTCCGCATGCCAAGGAAGGGCTGGGAGGGGCAGCAAAGATTCTCCGCTTAGCCAAACTGTAGTCAGGCCCCTGAACCTTCTTCCATGCCCATTTTGCACTTTCTGGTAAAATTTAGTCTCGGCAATGAGCCCTGCTAAGTCAGGGCTGGGTACCTGATCCACCCTGATATTTTCTCAGGTCGTTCATCCTGCACTTCCCCCAGGTGAGGCCTGGTCACTGGGCTTGTCTTTAGCAAGACTCCTGCATAGTTAGTTTAGGAAGAGCTCCCTTCCCACCAGTGTGTCCTTAGTAATTCTCTGTCCACAGACTCCTACCCTACTCCTTGGTTATAAATTCCCATGTGCCCCTATTCAGAGTTGAGCACAATCTCTTTCCCCCATTGCATAATCAAGTTGCAGTGGTCCCTATCCATGTGGTAATGATCCTGATAGTCTTCCTTACCATGCTTTTCTTATTTTTATTTTTTTTACCATGCTTTGAAAGGTGTCATTAAATACTTCGTTCTCGTCTGACCTGCAGATCCTCTACCCGCTCATATAACAGTCTGGGGTAGATGTGGTGAGACCCTTTACCAGAAATGTGGCATGCAGTACAGGCCCATACTGGCAAAGACGGGGGACTCTGCCTTCCCGGTGTTCAGTCCCTACATGGTCTTCATATTGGAGCCAAGTGGACACCAGCAGGAGAATGGAGACTCTTTGGAGCAAGAAGGCCCTCAGGTGCTGATGTTCAAGGCCTCTCCGCCCAGTTGCTCTTCTCTCAGTTCAATGAACTTCCCCTAAACGCACATCCTAGCTGGGACCACACCAGGCCCTCCCAGGGCAATGACAATAGCGTTTACTGGGTGTTTACTATGTGCCAGAAACTGTTCCGTGCACTTTACAGGTGTTAAGCTCATCCTTGCCTTACCATAACAATGGCGCCATTGTCCTCACTACGCAGAGGAAGGAATCAAGGGAAAGGATGGAGAAAGATCTTACACCAGGAAGTGGGACAGTGGATAGAATCTCAGGCTGCACAGCCTGAGCTCCCAATTTGCCTTTGGGGTAAGGCAGGGAGAGGAGGGCCCAGGGCCCACATACCACCTCTAGAGCCCGGGAGCAGAGTGACCACAGGAGAGCGGTTGGGAGCCACTCACCACTCATGGGTGAGCAGGTCAAACTCCCCATACAGCTGGCCCATTGTGATGGACTTGGGGTTGAGCACGTAGTAGTTGACGGCCTCATACACACCGCCACTGATGGACGGCTGCCCTTTCAGCGACGTCAGGGCGGCCGCCAGAACTCTGTAACACTGGGGAGATGGGCACCCAAGAGTGACCTTCTTGGCTCCTCAGAGAGCAGGGTCGGAGTGAGCTGGGGACCACATGCAGTGGAAGGGATGTTCTAGACGCCAAGGAGGTGCAAAGGGAGGCAGCACCCTGTGGAAGGTCATCCCTCAGGTCACTGCGCAGGCACTAGGCTGCTCTGCTTGCCACTTACGGTACTCTTGCCAGAGCCTGTGGGTCCAACAAGCATGAGGCCGTGCCGCACCACCGTGGTCTCATAGAGTTGGATGCACTTGGTCAGGAAGCCTGGGGACATGGCAGGGGAACCAGAAGTCAGGGCATGAGCTTGGGTCTCGGCTCTGCAACTGGCTTATGTGACCTTGGGTGAGTCACTTCACTTCCCGAGTGTCAGTTTCCTCCTCTGTAAAATGAGGATGGTGGTAGGAGCTACCTCATAGGTAAGGGTAGGTGAAGCCCTAAGCACACAGCCTGGTGCAGAGTAGGAGCTCCCCAGATGCCAGCCACTAAGCCATTGCTATTACCATTCCCTGACACCCTTTGGTTGGATGGTCAGTTGTCATGGGCCTGCTCAAGGTCATAGTCAACTTCTGACCGCAAACGGCTGACTGTCCCAAGCTTGCTGAGAGCACCACCTGGAGAAAGTAGGTGCTGGCCAAAGAAGCCACCAATCTAGGAACAAAATTACAGGGTTGGGGAGCTTTAGGGACAGCTGCCAGTCGCGGGCAGAGGGCCAGGAACATGGATAGGGAATGAACACTTTGCTTTGGCCCGGAGAAGTGGTGGCTCTGGCATTGCAGATCTGGGGGTCTCTGCTAAAGGGATGAGGATGGCCAGGGGTGGCCAATCAGCCAGGGGTGGCAAAGCTAACTAGAGCTGTGAGGGAGAGGAGTCTTGTTACTCAACAAGTGTGCTGGGGCCTGGGCACAGGGGGCCTGAGAAAGAAGCATTAGAGCCACATATGGCGCTGAGGAGCCATGGACAGCTTGGGGAGGGGCCTCGCAGGGCTGGGTGTGAACACTTCAGGTTTGTAGGCCCCAGAGAAAGGCCTCACGGGGCCAGCGGGTTGGGCAAGCCCTCTTGAGGAGCACTCCCACCCCGCAAAGACCTGCGGAAGGACTGCAGGACAGGAGGGAGCAGCCATGGAGGGAGTCATAGGGATGAGAGCTCAGTGTGCATGGGGCTGCAATGGCCAGCAGGCAAGCAGGGCAGAATGGGCAGAGGAGGGCCTCTGTCAGCGAGGGGTTGGTACCTGATGACCAATACAAAGAGGGCACTGGTCTTCATGTGGATAGAAGCTGCTATATCATGAGATCTCAGCGAGGGGACAGCACTTGTTTCTTATTGCCTGGGAAGTGGCAGGACTGCTTTGCCAAGAGCCCAAGTACACACACACGTGGCTAGGTGTGAGGGCTGCACTGCCCCATCCCTGTCTTTTGCCAGAGACTCCAAGGTGGCTGGAGCCAGCCCTGTCTCAGGCACCTAGGGGCCTGTGGGAAGGCAGGGGCCAGTGGCTCACCCTCCACATCCTTCAGGTTACTCTTATCACAGGCCTTGCGAATGGCCTTGTCCAGGATGCCATAGTCAGTGTCCTCCTCCTTGATGGTGGGGAACAGGTCTGACACAATCCCCGAGAAGAGCTTGAGGTCCTCCTGCAGGAACTTGGGCACGTTCACATCCCGGATGGCCCGGAGGCAGATCAGCTCCTGTAGCAGGTGCCAGCACAGGCTTCAGGACAGCAGGGCAGGTGCCCCTCCAGCTGCCTCCAGCCCTCCTGGAGCCTCTCCCTGGGACCCCTGCTGGGCAGAACTCACTTCATTCATGCTGGGGTTTTCTCGCTTGAGGTTTCCAGCAGCTGATATCACGGTCTTCACAGCTCTCATCCCGAAGTCATAGTGATCCTGTTGACACCATACAAGAAGGGCATGGGTCCTTCTCTCTCTACCTGGAACACTTTGCCTACCATCTGGTAACTGACCTCGCCTCTTCACCCAGCTTGCAGCTGAAATGCCACTTCCCCTGCACGTCCTCTGCAACCACCTGCCTGCAAGCCTGGGCCAGGTACCCTTCCTTTGGGAAGGTGTCCTTCCTAGTACGCTTCACTTTGTCATCCCACCACACTCTTGCTTTATCAGTTACCTATTCTGCATCCTCTGATCCACTCTGCCTTGGTCACTGCTAAACCTCTGTAGTCCCAGAACAGTGCCAAGGGCAGGGAGGGATTTACATTGTGTTGAAAATGTACATGAAGAATTTTCCTGTTTGTGCAACAAATGGCTTGGCCTCGATGGCCTTTTAGTGTCCGGCTAACATTCTCTGCAACATCTCTTCAGCCCTAACCCCTGGGCCACACCATAGTGGCTTTTCGTGCTGGTTCTGTTTCTCCTCATTATGTAGTAGGTCTACTAGAAATAGTTGAGTGCTTCATTTCGGATCACGGGGCCAAACCATCAGAGCTGCCCCTAGACCTGACTCACAGCCCAGTGCATGTTTTTTTTTGTTTGTTTGTTTTTGTTTTTTCTTCCTATACTGGGAATCGAACTCACAACCTTGCGCTTGCCAGGCAGGCACCGTGCCACTGAGCTAAATCCCCAGCTCCAGTGCACGTCCTAGACATCTTAGTCTTGAAGCTGTGTGAAGAGACTTGGCTTGACTGTGGGTCATCACACTTGGGAAGGGCTGAGTGCACTTTTAGAACCATCTGGGACAGTCACTTCAGTGCAGTATGTGTGTGTGTGTGTGTGTGTGTGTGTGCGCGCGCGCGCGCAGTTTTTAAAGTGGAGGATCGGGAAGCAGAGTCTGGGAACTAAGCTACCCAGACTCTGGAAAGTGGCTGGGGCCTCACCTGGGAGCTAAGCTGCTCAGAGGACAGCTTGAAGGTGGTGGTGATCTTCTTAGCCAGCACACTGGCCTCATTGAAGCCAAAGGAGTACAGGGAGATCTCAGCAATCATGGCATAATCTGGGACCATCATGGCCACAGGTCGGAAGAGGGCCTGTGTGTGCGGCACATGTGTGAACGGTGGGCAGGCCTCATCCCCCCACCCCAGGGCACCACCCACTCTTTGGACTGTGTAGTCCTCAGACGGTAGCTTCACCACCCTCCTCCCAGCTAATGCTGGGATTCCCTTCTGTACCACATCTGCCATGGCTGGGCCTTTCACTGTCCTGTGGCTGGACAACTCTGGCCATTAGAAACAGGTCTTTTGTGTTGCTCTGAACCTGCCTTCCTGTAACTCCCAGGAGACGGCCCCCTTTCGGCTCCTGGCTGTTTCTCCTGCAAGCCCAGCCTAGCAGTGGCTCTTATCAGCGGGCTCTCACAGGCACAGGCAGGCACCCCTTCTCCCATGTCCTGAGGACAGGCCTGGGGGTTCTCCTCCATGGGTGGGGCAGGGGTTTAGGACCTGGGCAGGGGTGCTCCCATGGGGAACTGCAGTCCCTGATGTCCAAGCATTTCAGAGTCCAGGCCAGAGCTCAGGCCTTCCCGCCACCTGGACCTGAACTTGCCTTTAGATTGTCAGGCAGTTCAGTGCGGCCAGCGTATCCTGGGTTCATGGTGATAAACACTGCACAGGATGGTACAAGTGGGATCTCCACCCCCTCAAACATGAAGCGCTCCACCTGTGGGGGAGGGAGGTCATCTTGTTGGGTAGGAGGTATCCTCCCCAACACTCCCTCTGGATGGACCTCCCATGCTCTCAGGTACCCCTGTCCCGGCAGCAGCCTGTTGGCTAGGATCCTGGCATGGGGTGGATCTTCCCTCAGGATCTGACTTAAGACCGCAGGTCCTCAGTCAGGTCCTAGTTCTAGGCCCTCTAAGCTCTCCACATATTTCCTGTCTCCTACTCCCTCCACCCTAATTCCCGACACTGATCTCCCTAGACTTTGGTAAGCTCAGGCCTGACTAGGTGGGGTTGTCCGTCAGTCTCTCAGCTCTTGATGCCGGGACAAAATCCCTGGCTATGCTGAACAAGCCTGAAGAGAGGACCAATGCCTGGAGCTTTCCCTGAGCGTCAGGACAGAGGACAGCACCCCTTTATCTGCCATAGGTTGGTGTGGGAGCTGCCCACAGACCGCGGGAAGGATGTGGGCCTTCCTGCCTGGCTACAAGAGCCCTCTAGAGCCTGCTCAGCAAGGGTGACAGTGAGGGGACAGTGACACGAGGCTGTGACAGTGAGGCTGGCCCCAGGCGGGCCCCGGTGCCTGGCTTCGCACCCTGCTGCGTGGGAGCTGCGTGATGGCGGGGGTGTGGCCCGGCGGTGCAGTGGGCAAGGGTAGTGTGCAGTGTGGGCCCACGGCTCACCCGCTGTTGCTGCGCCTTCTGGATGGTGGTGATCTGCTGCGCCACCACAGACAGCACCTCGATGTCGATGCGATTGAACTCGTCGAAACAGGCCCACGCCCCAGCACTAAGTGAAGCCAGAACGCGGGGTGGGGACATGTGTTCAGACCCAACATGTCACCTCCCTCCGAGGGCTCCCCGGACTCCACTGAGGAGAACCCCTAGCAGCGCAGCCGCAATCCCACTGCCTGCCCCCACTCCAGGGCCCACTGAGGCTGAGCCTTGGCTCCTGCTCCTCTATCACCCTACGAGGCTCCTTACAGGCAGTGTCCTCCCCCAGCCCTCCCTTGGCAGACGGCTCAGCCTTCTTGTCCCGTCCTGTGCCACCTTCACACCCAGCCTCACCTGGCCAAGCCCTTGAAGAACTTGCCCATGGCCATGAAGTCGAGCTGGTCAGAGCAGTTGAACACAACCGTCTGTATGGCCAAGGCCTTGCCCAAGTCTTTGGTGGTTTCTGTTTTCCCTGTGCCAGCTGGGCCAGCTGGGGCACCCCCAAACTTGAGGTGCAGGGCTCCGGTCAGGGTCAGGTAGCACCTGCAGGAGTGAGAGGAGGTGGGTACAGGCTGCATCTGTCCTGGGCGTACCCAGTGGGTGCATCTTCTTCCGGAGGATTTCCACAGCCCTGGGGAGCCTCCTCCCCGGGACCCAGGGGTGCCCAGCCCCAGCTGCCGGGGTCCGGTTGGAGCCCGGGGCAAACTGCTCAGTGCTCTCCTTGCCCACTCCATGGCCCTGTAGAGCTTTGCTTGGGACCCACCTGGGACCAGCTTACTTCCCTTCCTCGAGACCGCCCCCCCCCTCGGGAAGGTCACCCCTCACCTGTCAGTGAGGGGCGTGATCACCAGCCTCCCGCTGTTGCCTAGGTACTCATAGCCATAGATGAACTCGGCATTCACAGCCCGGATGTACAGGTCACTATTTGTCCAGTAGTACCTGGGAGTGTGGGGAGATGGGTTCCTGGCCAAGGAGCCCATCAAGGAGGGGGGGCTCTTTTGGGAAATGAGGGCATTGAGATCCCCCTGCCCAGCTTGTCCTAGAGCCCGGAAGGCAGGGACAGGTCTCTTGTTAACTGACCGCCCACCCCTCCCCTGGCTCTGTCCTGGCAGCTGCTCTGGCCCCAGGGGACCCCCATACCCTCCTCACCTGAGCTGTGAGATCCACTCAAAGTCATTCACACTGACCACATCCTCCTGTATCAACCTGTGTACCACATCCTTGGCGTGGACCTCAATGACAATTAGTGCCGACAGCACTGCCCGCTGCATGCGGGAGAGCTTTCCCCGTACCAGGGCCACCAGGTCACTGAGCTGCAGGAATGGGGAGCACTGTCAGAGATCCTGGACCCCCGGGGGCTCCCCTCCCCTGCACAAAGAATGAGCTTCTGCCGTGAATAGCTTCTGTCTCCTGGCGGCTTCTGACTATCTGGGATGAGAAGGGAACAGGGATTAGGCACAGGGTAGGTGGTTAATAATAACAAGCACATGCATGCCATCAGCTTCTTTGTAACGGGCATTGCCCCAAGCTTTCAGGGTGGGCAGTGGAGCCTGGTGAGAAGTTGGGGCCTAGAGTGTAATGAGAAGCCTATGCATGGAACAAAGGTGGCTCAAGGGATGGCACGGAGAGACCTGGGTGTGTAGCTTCCTCACTGACCATCAGGAGAAGGCACCTGCTTGGCCTCCGGTCCCATCTGCTGTTGTGAGACCCTTATTTTAGGGGTGTCTGACTTTCTGTCCTCTAGACTTGACCTCAGGCCTCTTCTAGGCTCCATATACAAAAGAGTTACTGGAGTGACAGGAATCTCCTGGGGGTGTCAGGGGCGTGGGGAACAGTGATCCTCTACACTCCCACCTGCTGGGAGAGCTGGGGGAACAGTCGGACGCTAAGGCTGCCGGTCTCCAGAGCCTGTGCCACCTCCATGGTCCAGTAGGTCTGGCAGCCAGCGATGGTCACTTGGCCAGGCCAGTTCAGAACCCACTGTGTCCTGGGCATCTGGGAAGACAACACGGGCAGGCTGACTCAGGCAGCTGCCAGGCCTGACTTTTCCTCGCTTCTCCGCTTGAAGGGTGTCTGTGCTTTGGTCTTTCAAACTCTGGGTTTAGATTGTTAATTTCATCAGTGCCTCAAAAGGAGAGGAGCCATTAAGCTCTGGGGCCCCCGTAGGTGGGAAAAATAGATAAATCATCATTTCTGCAGCACATGAGCCTTTGGAGTGGAAGGGGGGAGACTGTGATCAGGGAATATAGTCTGGGTTCAAATCCTGCCTTGGCAAGTCTTGAGCAGAAAACATCTCTGAAGGGCCTCGGGGATAGGGCGCCCCCTGCAGCCTGGCTCCTGGTGGAGCGGCTGAGAGAGCTGGAGCATGGCGAGTGCATAAAGCTAGTGGGGTTTCCAATTACTATTAACAATGAATCTCGCTTTCCCAGTGTGTGTGGAAAGGAGAGTTTTCAGATTCCTGCCTGAGCCCCCAGGGACCTCTTGGTGGTAGGGTTGTAGCTTGAGAACAGGCAGGCAGGAGCGACAGAGGCGCTGAGCAGGGCCCGGGCAGGCTGCGTGGCGGTGCTCACGTTGGGGTAGGCCAGGATGGCCCTCTCAATAATGCTGCGCACGCTGGCCTTCATGCTGTGCTCGACCTCCCGCAGCCAGTCCTCCACATTGCTGGATGGGTAGATGGAGAAGGACAGCTGCACCTCCTCCCCTTCGGCCGAGTACATGTGTGTGATCTCCAGGTCCTCCTGGAACAGCAGCTGTGGGAGATGGGGACATGAGCAAAGTCACCTGGGTGTGTCTGTCCCAGGCTGACCCCAGCCCCAGCCTGACCCCCAGGGCCAGGTGCCCTCCACTTTAGAAAGCCAATTTTGCTTAGGGGACCTGGGCATGTCTGGGCCGGGCTTCCCTGACCACAGATGGGAAAGGTGCGCCTGCAGCTCCCAGCTGTGGCCTGGTCCCAGCCAGGCCTGGCCTGAAGCAGGCCCTTGGGGAAGGAAGCCAGGTCTGTTGTGTGTGTCACTGTCCTGCTCAGGCCTGTGTGGGCACCTCTGAAGATGAAGAGGGTCACAGTGCCTCACAGTGTTAGGAAACAGGAAGCACTTGGGGAATTAGAAGCCAAGGGCTCCCAGCCCCAAGCAGAGGGGATTTCTGGGGCTGACCTTTCCAATGGTCCTGGGTGTGTCTCTGGAGACCAGAGATCTCACTTGCTGCCTTGTTTGCCCTAGAGGGCGTGGCACAAGTGGAGAAATTTTCTCCCCGGGGATTGCCCTAGAGGTCAGGGACCTGAGCCACAGGCCCAGCTACCCACCCGGGCGATGTTTTCGAAGCACTTGCGCAGATGGGGCTGCACAGCAGTGGGGTCCTTTGTTTGGGATAAGATCTCCAGTAGTTCATCATCTGACAGGAAGTAGAATCTGCCAGGGAATAGGTGAGAGGTCAGGTGAGCTTTCTCGGCCTGGCAGCTCCAGCACCACTGACATCTTTACATCCTTTCCTACAGGGCACTTGAGACCCCAGCCTCGTGGGCAGATGCTGACAAAGTGGTATGAGCCCTGGCACCCACCTGGTGTGTGGGGTGCTATGCCCACCTGGGGAAGGCGCTGCGCTTGGTCTCCAGGTACTCGCTGAGGCCCTTTTGCACCTGGTCCAGCAGCTTGTTGCAATCCCGGAGGCTGTCCAGCAGCCTCTGGTCGGAACACACATTGATCACCTGCAGGCCCGGGCCAGGGTAAGAAGGGGGAGCATGAGCCTGGTGCAGCTGAAGGCAGCAAGGCAGCTCCACCAGAATGCCCACATCAGCTAAGGACCCTCAGTGGGGCTTGGGAAGGAAGAGGCAGGAGAGCTATCCCCAAACCAGAGGTTGCCTCCATCAACCCTACTATCCCCCCCAAAAAATTCCAAGGTCAAAAACTGAGGATTAAACAAAGCTAAGAAGTGTGCTTTGATGCAGGACTTTCCAGGGCCTCTAAAATGCTAACATGGACTATGAAGCTCCCAGAGAAAAACCATTACTATTGTGTTTATTTATTTTTTATTATGAGACAGGGTCTCACTAAGCAGCTGAATTGCCAGGCTGGCCTTAAACTTGCAAACCTCCTGCCTCAGCCTCCCAGAGTGCTGGGATTCTAGGCATGTGCCACCACGCCTGGTTACTGAGGAGCACCTCTGGGACTGGGGCACCTTGGGCTATGACCAAAGCCTTGGACTTGTCCCCCAGTCCTTGCTGAAGTAGGCTCCCGAAAGTGTGACCGGGGCCCTTGGGGGTTGCAGCTCGCCTCCCGGTTCTCGTTGGCATTCCTCATTATCTTCCTCCAGATCCGCTCCATGGTTTGGTAGCGCTTGCTCTCCACAGGCAGTTGCCGGTTGATGTCCTCAGAGCTGAAGATGGGCTCCAGGTAGAGCCAGGAGCGTTGACAGTTCAACCACTCCTCCAGCACCTCCTGACCAGGTCGGGTAGGAAGGCAAGAAAGGGACCTTCAGGGCCTCAGGATTCAAGTTGGGTTTTACACCCATGACCAAGATATTCCACCTCATCAGAGTGCTGGTCAGGGCACTGGTCTCCGGAGATGCTTCTGGATGGTACTGTCAGCATGGAAATCCACAGAACAATGGCTGGGATGCCTGCCCTCCAGGGGCACCCTACACCTCTAAAGGCCCCAGGGTTGCCACTCTTCCCTGTGAGAGGCTGTGCTCAAACCAGCAAACCCCACGGTGACCAAGGAAAGTCCCCACACAGAACTCTCAGGTCTGTGACCTCTCCAGGATTCTCCAAGGTTAGCTGAGATCCCTAAATACTCCCTGAAACATCAGTCTAAGGGTGCGACATCCTCAAAACCAGCCCCATTACCCTTTGCCTGCCACTTCCCCACTCAGTCTGTGTGTCTTCTCCCACCCGTGCAAACCCATTCATTCAAATCTCTTCTTCAGGAGGTTGAAGCAGGAGGATTGCTGTGAGTTCGAGGCCAGTTTGGGCCTCAAAATAAATTCAAGGCCAGCCTGAACTGCATGGTCTCAAAAGCAAAACAACAACAACAACAACGACAACAACAAAAACACTAAATGCTGCCCTCTCCACAGCCCTAACTGCTTTTTTCAGTAACTGAGGGCCATAGGCAGACAGATTCGTCCACCCAAGTCATCCTCTTCTGAAAGGAGGGTCTGCAAGAAAGCCAGGAGCTTGGTGAACACAGCCCCACACCGATGCCTCTGAGAGTCACCTGAGTTTGGCTGAGGGTGGAGAGGGTGAGGGGAGAATAGCGAGGGGCCCACCTGGGTCAGCTTCAGTTTGGTCTCCCAGGAGCTGATGCGCTGCTCAAAGGGCTTCTTGTAGGGGGAGAAGGACATGCTCTGGGTCATGATGATGTGGTCGTCAAGCAGCTGTGAAGCCTCGTCTGGGCTCTTGAGGATGTAGGTGTCGGTCTCTTTGTAGGGCAGCACGTTGAACAGGATGGTTGACCATTCCTTCTCCATCTTGTCCAGTGCCTGGGGTGTGGGATGAATCGAGGTTGGGTCCCAGGAAGGGGCTGCTTATCGTGCTGTCTGGCCAGCTCTGGGCAGGGAAGAAGAGGCCCTGCCGAGCTATGACCTTCACATGGGTCCCTCTGAAAAGTACTCTTAGCCTACCTGGTCAACGAGTTGCCTGTGGGCTCCTGTCTGAATTTAGGTCCAACCCACTCTCACATGTATGCTGCAAGTGCACGACACACTTACACATGCATGTTGGGAGGCAGCAAAGGTGCCAGGCAGGAGTGCAGGCTTTGGTCTCAGCTCTGACACTTACTGGCTGTGTCACCTTGGCCAATTGCTGAACCCCCTCCCCCGAGCTTAAGGTATTGATAGATTGATGGGTGGGGATGTTATAGATTGATTGTGGTGATGGGGATGGAACCCAGGGCCTTGTATATGCCAGGCAAGAACTCTACCCCTGAGCTGCACCCCTTAGCATCCCTGTACTCATCTGTTTAGTGAGGATAATATCATCAGTTTGCTCCCAAGATACTGAAGGGGTAATAGGAATAATAGCAGTGGTGTGTGCCATGCCAAGCACCTCGTGCACATCAACTCACTTCATAGAATGCACCCGCCTCCTTGGGTATAATGACCAAAGGGATGGGGGCCATCCTTCCAAGTGGCTATCACTGCAAGGGCTGGAGGTCAGGGGTGAGCCTGCTGGTGACTGCCCACCTGCTCGATGGAATACTCCTTGCCAGCCACCTCTGCCACCTTGCTGATACTCTCGATATGGTCCTGCAGGTTCATCTCGAGGCAGCGGGCAAAGGTCAGGTTGGCTTTGGGCCTGACGTTGATGTTGATCTCATTGGATAGTATATCCCAGTGCCGGTTCCGCATGCCAGGGTTGCGTAGCCCCTGGATCAGGGGGATGTATGGCTTGAACTCCTCGATGCGGGTTCGGATGTCTAAGGCCACATCTTGGCAGGCTGTCAGGAAAAGCAGATGGTCAGAGAGGCAGCTGGCACAGGCATGGCAGAAAGGGAAGGTTGGCTTGGCCGCCTACCTGGAATGTCCTTGAACTGCTTCACGCACTTGTGCATGGTCTTGAAGGACTCAATGACGTTCTTCTCCAGCTGTTCAGCATCAATGGCTGACAGGGGGTCATTCATCCAGCTCTCAGACCAGCGTAGCCAGTCAGAAGCTGTGGTCCAGAGGTCCAGGTAGGGCTGGAACTCCTTCACCATCCGGGAGAGTTTCTCATACTGCGGGGGCAAAGGACAGGGCTGGGGCTATCGTGGGATCCACAGGTTTTCTCTATGCTGCTCCTCCTTGGGCCAGTTACCACACTTCCCACCCCTGCCCCTGGCTGCTCTCTCTGTGCCCATCTCCATGCTCCCTTTCCTGGCTCTGGGCTTTGAGCTATCAAGTCAGGCCTAGGCTGAGCCTCAGGGGCTCCTGCATGTTCCCCAGGTCTCCTTAGCCTGACAGCCAAGGTGGTGTTATCTCTGCTTTGCAGTCTGCCCAGTCCTGCCCCTGTCATGCCAGAGCCCTGCCACCCAGGAGCTGGGCTCTGATGTGGGCGCAGACAAAAGCTGCTTCCTCAAGCCCTGGGGTAGGAGGGGCCGAGTGCTCATGGGAGGCCTACATTGGTGATGGGCAACCCAAAGATGCGCTCCCGGTTGTTGTAGAGCGTCGCCAGCTGCTGGCACTCCTTCAGCTGCTTCTTGACCCGCCGCACCTCATTGGCAATTTCATGCGCTCGTGCAATCTCCACATGGACAGAGAAGCCAGCTACCACCAGCTAAAGGCCAAAGGGCAAGGATCAGATAATCCTGCAGCCCCACCCCAAGCCCATGCATTCATACACACACACATACACACCCAGGGAACCCAAGCTCCTTGGGCATTGACTCCTGCCACCTCTGGGCTGCACAGGTTGCTATCCCACCACAGGCAAGCTAAGTGCCCCAGGACGACATGGCAAGAGTGGGGGGATCCAGTGCCCTGAATGCTGTTCACTGTCCACAACAGAAGGGTTGGACCCCACTAGTCTGGATTTTCCTGGAGATTGCTGTCTTTCAGTTCATTCTTTCAGTCACGTGTTCACCCATCTGCCCACTTACCCATCACTCTGTGACACAGCATGTCCGATACGCAGGAAGCAGGGCCAACGTGTAGCACTGAGTATGTGTGTGGTGGGGAGCAGTCCTAGCCCAGAGCCCCCCGCCAAGCCCCACCTGCAGCCCTTCCAGCTTCTCCTGGAAGTTGTTCTGATCCATGAGCTGGATTTTGCGGAACTTCTCCTCATCCTCGATATGCTGATGCCGCACTATCTCTATCTGCCCGAGGATCTTAGATGGCCAGAAGCTGGCAGCCCATCTGCACAGAAGAGCGGTTGGGATTGGGGGAAGAAGATGGGGTGGAAAGGCTAGGCAGACACCTAGGTCTGGCACCAAGGCAGTCAAGGCAAACAGTGGGATGGGGGATTAAGGTAGCAGTCAGCTGGGAATGGGTGACTGGGAAATCTGAGTGAATTGGTTGAGAGCCACTGCCACCACTGAGGCAGCAACCCTGGCCCTGCCCTCTGGAAATTACTGTCACTATCCAGTGACAGTTAGACCCAGTGTGTCTAATGCAATGACAAGGGCACAGGGGAAACAAAAGCAATGAGGCCAAGTTCCCTCTTAAGCCCCAAGGACTGCCAGAGCCTTACCCCAGATGAGGCAAAGCAACAGTCTCTAGCCTGACTGTCCTTGGTGACCAACCTGGGCCACTATAGCTCAGCAACTCTTAGCCCACCGCCTGCTGCCTGCCCATCTCCCTGGCGTCAGGGACAACGCCCCCACTCACTTGTCATTGAAGTCCTCCGTGCTGAGGTTGTAAAAGAACTCGTCCATGACCTGGTAGTCATCCATGACCTTCACAATCCGCTCCTGAACGGAAGGTGGTGAAGGAAATTGTGCCGGGGAGGAGCTTACTGAGATGGAGCGCTCCAAAGTGGCCAGGTGTTAGGGAAGGACTGCCAGGGGCAGAACAGGAGGTGCAGGGGCTCCAATGGCCATGACCACCACATGCCCGCTTTCCAATGTCCTGATCTACACCTTCAGCCCTCCTGATCTCCCCGATAGCACAGCTCCCAAACACTACCAGAGCTCGATGAACTGTGAGGTGGGCAGGGAGAGGGGTTGAAGGTGGGGTGTCTTCCCAAAGATCCGGGAAAGCAGGGGGCGGGTGTGGTCTAAAGACCACGTAGGTGGCAGTGTGGTCAGGCGCAGAGCATGGGTGGAGGTGGGGGCAGGCTTGCAGTGGCGTGTCTTAGAGGGGACTGTGGACTAATACAAGGTGGAAGCCCCTGGAGGCCCATGGAGGGAGAACATCCTCCTCGGCCTGAACCTGCCACCTCACAGCCTCCCGAATCCCACTTATCCTCTGCGGATCTACCTCTTGGCTCCTAATCTCCCAGGCCCTGCCTACCCTGCCCCCAGTCCTTGAAAGCCAGCCCCGTGCCTCCAACATCCTAGACTTCAGATGCTCCCCTGACTTCCAGTTAAGCTCCGCACTAAGCTCCTGGCCCCCAGCCTTACCTCCAGCCCCACCAACTTTTCAGGGATGCCCTTCATCCAGTCTCGCAGCTCCGCAAGCTCTTCAATGCTGTTGGGCTTCTCATAGATCTTTCGGCTGATGCTGCGGAACTCTTCGCAGATCTGGCGCGGGAGGACAGCACTAGGGAGGGCTGTGTGCCCCTTCCTTGCCTTCCTTGGGGCCCATTCCTCCTGCTAGGTCCCTAGTGCCTCCCAACAGATAGTCGTCCCACCACAACTACCACATCCTGCGGTGCTTTCCAAGAAGCTCCCTGGGTTGTTCCGGTCTCCATGGGGCAAGAATGTCACCCAGTACACCTCGCCTTCCCAGTCTCCTCTGCTCCCACCAACACATGCAAGCCTGAACTTACACAAACTCAGCTCTGTGAAACAACCCAAACAGAGTGTACTGTGGGAGGGCTTCCCAGGTCTCCACAAGTCTAGGGGAGGAGGTAGCAACCTCCCCCAGGGGACAGCTCCCCACAGACAGGCAGCGATCAAGACAGGGTGATTCCCTGTTCCCATTAGATTGAGTGTCTACAGGCATTCCCAACCCTACCTGGGGATAGGATATCTGGCTAGGGCAGTATGTGACATAGGTGAGGAGGTTTGCATATTGCTGTGGTCACTGGGGCAAAGCAGATGGGCTCTTACACCGTCCACTTCCTTGTGAAGACTCTTGGCCAGGATGTCCATCATGGAAGTGGCCAGGGTCTTGCGCTTCTTGGACAGGCTCTGCTTGACATTGTCGACGTTGATATAGAAGGGACCAATGATGATGCTGCTGGGCAGCGAGTTGTCCAGGATCTCTTTCTCCTTTAGGTGGGTGAGTACCACTTCACGCACCTCCTGGGCCGATGGGCACTGCGTCTGGTAGGCTCTGAGAACAGCATGCATATGTGGAGGGAGAGGGCAATGAGAGGGGCAGGGTGTACCCAGACACTCAGACTTGAATGCAGGTACACACATAGGAGCACGCACTTGAGGAAGGCGGTAACATCGCTGTTGTTCAGCTCCAGGTACTTCCTGTACTCCTTGGCATAGGCCTGCAGCGGGATCATGGCCTTATGCATAGCGTTAACTATGACAGCCCGCAGCTCCTCCACCAGCGGCTCATGAAGGCCCACCGACTCCAGCAGGGGGTCCCCACAGATAAAGAGGTCCTCCATCACCAGCTGCAAGAGAGGGGACAGTAGACCTGGCTGTGGCAGAATTAGTCCACAAGAGCAGGGTCCCAGTTGTCATTGTGACACTTAGCAGGAGGTGCAGAATTGGACGAGCTGCGAAGTGGGCAGAGAGAGGGGTTGAAGATGGGGTGTCTTCCCAAAGATCAGGGAAAGCAGGGGCAGGGTATGGTCTAAAGACCACATAGGTAGCAGTGTGGTCAGGTGCAGAGAGCATGGGGCGGAGGTGGGAATAGGCTTGCAGTCGCATGTCTTAGAGGGGGCTGTGACTAGTACAAGGCTGGAAGCCCCTGGACACCCACTGAGGGAGAAGGTTCTCCTCTGCCTGGCCTGCCTCAGCCCAATGCCAAGGGAATGCACAGAAGGGGAAACCAGGTCGCCGATGGCTTTGACTGAGTAACAGGGGAGGTGAGAGTGGTCTTGAGTTGTGGAGGCTCTTGTGTCTGGGGAGTGGGCTGTGTGCAGCTGGGTGTGGGTACAGCAGTGGTGACTAGTGGAGACCTTTGGCACTAGTTCCACGGGTAGAAGTCAGCTTGTGTCTACTCTTGAGATGAAGAGAGAAGCCAGGAGTGGGCGGGACCAAGAGGGGTGGGATCTGGAGCAGATGTAGATGTGACAGAATTAGTTCAGCAACAGCAGGGTTCCAGTTGCTATTATGATACTTAGCAGTTTTCTGACTTAGGTTAATGATTAAACTTCTCCACGTCTGCAAGGTGGGGTTGCTAATAACTGCCACAGTTCAGTTTGTGGTGAGGATTACATGGGGCTAAGCATATGGCCCACCAGGTAGGATGCCGGTGATAAAGTTTAACCACTCTGACATTTGTGGTAGGACATATGGCCCAGAGAGCCACTAGCAGCCACAGCAGGAGGTCCCAACCTGCCCCCAACAGCTGCAGTATGTACCTTCTCCAACTGGGGCACAGAGTGGGTGGCCAGGATGCCCTTGTCGAAGATATTGAGCAGAGATGTCTCAAACTGCTCCAGCGGTGTGCTGTAATGCACCCCTGAGCCATCCAGCACCAGGTCCATGATGAACAAGGGATTCTTCTTGGGCCTGAGGGGTCATAGCTGGGCTGATTATGGGTATGGGCTGGAGGAGGATCCTCTGCCCTTCCTGCCAGCACTGCAGCTCTTAAGTTTCTCCATTTATGGCTCATCCCTCCTCCTTTCTCCCAGAATCCCCCAAAGTCACCAGAGAGAAAGACCTGGAATATCCAGCCAAGTTCTTCCTTGGGTACCACAGAGGGAGGATCCCCCACAAAACACACACACACACACACACACAGATCCTGAAGTCATCAAGACAAAGTCAGTTAGGCCCTGGGTACTTGTGGCCCCTGTGCCCTCCCCGGGAGCCCCTCACCTTTGGCTTCACAGACGTCCACCACATACCAACAACCCCCAAGTCTGGATCCTAGCCAGGACCCTCCTGATGGCTTCTGATGCACTTTAAATAAATCTAGCCCCCAGCTGACCCCAGGGGCGCCTTCGTGATCGGGACTGGTCTCTGTGACTTCTCCCATTTCCTCCTGATCAGGCTTCCCCACACTTCCCTACCCCGGCTGTAGCTGCCACACCATCCTCTCTTGATTGCCCCAAGCCCTTTCTCCCCTTGGGGCCTCTGCATGTTGTTCCCTACTTGTAGGGGCTGTTCATTAAGTCTTCACCCCAGACCATGTCATCGGGGCAGTCCAGCACACTGCCACAGGCGTCACTGATGAACTGTGTGAAGCTGGCCAGCGAGTCCTGCACAAGGAAGCGTAGCGTGTCCTGCAGCATGTACTTGATCATCTCCATCAGCTTGCGCAGCTTTGACATGAGGTACACTTCCCAGTTAGTCTCGTAGAGGTTGTACCAGCCCTTGCTCATGTCGCGCAGGCTGCTGCGCATAGCCACCTTCAGGGTGCTGATCCAGCTGTCCTTGAGGAACATCTGCACCTGGAGTAGCCACACGAATCACTGTGAAGCCACCTCAGGGACCCACAGCCATCATGCTTGAGGATTCTCCACACCAGGGTTCCAGCAGTGGCCTCAGGACTCACTGACTGTGGAAGGTTCTCCTCCACCAATTTACAGCCAAGCTCTGCCAACCGACACCCTCCTGTGACCCCACTGCCCCAGGCTATGGGTAAGAGCAGGGCAGTCCCCCTAAAACAGGGCTTTCTCTGCAGCCAGAGGAGAAAGACAGAGACTAGAGGCTATACCCCTCCCCCAGTATCAGGTGGAGGCAACTAGGGTCGAGATGGTGTGAGAGAAAAGGAGCCCGCCCTGGCTCTCCTTTTCTCTGACAGGCGAGCCATTCCCTTGGCCCCACCCCAGGCTCCGACAAGGCCTAGGAAGCCCTCACGCCCTGGTCGGAAGTGGCTGATGATCCCAGGCTTCTGGGGGCCCTGGTCTACCCCAGTGCCCAGGCACCTGGGATAAGGTCTGCAGCTGGATCTGCTCGAACTCCTCCAGGCGGCTATACTTGGAGAGGGTTGAGTGGAACAGTGACATGGAGGTCACGCTGTTGCACTTGGCCCGGACCTTGCTCAGGGCTGTGATGACTTCTGGCCGCGTGAGCAGAGACACAAAGGTGAAATCCTCCTTCTGTTCTCGGAAGGGGTACTTGGGAACACTCACCAGCCCTATGGGGTAGAAGCCAAGGGCCAACGTCAGACTGCCTAGGACATACCAGGGGGTCAGGACACATCTACAGGATTCTTGATGAGGAACACCTTTCCTGACTCCTCTCCAGAAGGGGTAGCCTTATTTCAGGAAACTTCTTTTCCTGTAGTCTGTCAATGGGTTGTCAACGGGAAAAGAAATTCCTCCCAGGACCCCCAGGTCATGGGCGTCTTTGAAAAGTGGGTGGCAACTGTAGTCCCTCTGCCTGTCTTCTCCCACCTGTGTGGCACACAACCTTCAGGCTACCTGGAGCCTTCCCTGACCATCAAGGAGAGAAGCAGTGGGCACCAGGACCCCTCAGCATGCCTGCTGTCTGCATTCCAGCCTGCACCTGGGCTTGGCGCACACTGGAAACCAGATCCCGGAAATGAAGTTAGCGGGGCTGGGAGAGCTCAAAGCAAAGAGGGCTCTCGGAGACTGAGAGCCTGCTCTGAGGCTCTCATCCACGAATCTGCAGCAATGCCAACCCTACTCTTGCTACTGCTCGAACTCCTTCAGGTGGCGCACGTGGAAAGGGTCCTTGAGGCCTTAACCATCAGAGCCTCTGTCATCTACCTTCTTTTTCCATACTTGGAATTGAATTCAAGGCCTTTACACCGAGCTACACCCCCCAGCCCTTCCACATTTTTTTTTTGTACTGGGAATCGAACTCAGGATCTTGTGCTTGCCAGGCAGGTGCTGTGCCACTGAGCTATATCCCCGGCCCCTCAGCCCTTTAAAAAAAAAAATTTTTTTTTTTTTTTTTTTTTTGGAGACAGGGCCTTATTAAGTCACTAAGTTGCCCAGGCTGCACTCTAATTTTCAATCCTCATGCCTCAGCCTCCTAGGAGTGCTGGGATTACAGGTATGTGCCACCATATCTGGCTTATTGTCTACTTCTGAATCTTAGCTTTCCTGGTACATGATTACTTTGTGGCTTCAGCATCATTCATGTTTTGTTTTGTTTTGTTTTTGAGACAGGGTCTTACTGTGTAGTTCAGGCTGGCCTTGAACTCACTCTGTATCCCAGGGTGGCCTTGAACTTGTGGCAATCCTCCTGCCCCAGCCTCCCGAGTGCTGGGTTTACAGGAATGCCCCACCATACCCAGCTGCATTATTCTGATAAATATTTTTTAAAAGTCGCCTCGCGGCTTCCCTGCTTTTCAGGCAGCTGCTGAAAGAAGTACATGAATGCTGGGGACAGATTGGGAGCAGGGGCGTGTCAGGCTTATGAGGCTCTCAGCGGCGGGACAGACCATCCTTTGGGAGGGGTGGGAGGGGGCAGTGGCCAGGTGGACGGCAGTGGAGTTCAGTGAGCCTCACCCTTCTCAGGCACCTCCTCCTCCTCCTCCTGGGGCAGGGTCACATAGGAGAAAGTGTCAGGTTTGGAGGAGACGATCCTGTCAAAGCTCATCTTGTTCATGCTGCGCTCGTAGTCCAGGATCACTTCTTTGGTGAGTTTGCTGAGGTGCTCGAGGACCCTGCCCATGGGGAAGAGACGGGGAAGTCAGGCACGCCACATACTCTGCCGACCCTATGCTATGGGCCAGTCCAAGGGCTGATCTGACATGGACTTGGGGACATACGCTTGGACTTTCTTTCTGGATCCACAGACACACCCTGCCTGGCTCTGTGCCACTAACCTCCCTCACCCTCATCCTCTGCTTCTCTCAAAGCTCTGGACCGCTGCATCAGTGCCTGAGTCCCACTTCCCAGTCATTCCGGTACAGATCGCCTCACCCCTCCTCCCACTCCAATCCACACCGCAAAATCACATCCCTCTGCTTAAAACCAGCCCGAATGCCTGGATCTCAAGGCAGAGCCAAAGCCCTTCTTGTGATCAAGAGGCCCTCCCCGCTGGCTCCTCCCTCCACTCCTCTCAGGCCACTCTCTCCATTTCTACATAGCTCCCACCTGGAGGCATCAGGTCTCCCCCTGCCACCCGAGTCTTTGGCTATGCTCTTTCCAACGGTGGCCGCAATCTCATCCACCCAGCCCCCACTTCTGCCTGACCAGCCCTTGGAGTCTCTGTCCTGGGCACAGTCTTTCTGCAAGAGGGCAGCCCTGTTTATGGTCCCAAAGTGCCTCTTCTATGCTGACACTCCTGACACTTCTGCAGGCTCCTGCATACTGTCTAACACGCTATAGGATGGCCAGTTCACAGGTGTTGTGTATACATGTGAAGAACTGCAGGAAAGCATGTCACCACGCGGTTAGCAGCAAGGGCCCTGATGGGAAGTGGCCCCTTCCATCCAAGTGTTGGAACCCTTTATTCCCTCCCTTACTCATGCTGGGCTCTCTAGCCACACTACCCAGACTTCTCCGCTTCCCTACCCAGCAGGCTCAGCTCAAGTGCCATTTCCCCCACAAAGCCAGCCCTGACTTACACCGCCTGGCTCTGGGATTAGATGACCTTCTTTACCCTCCCTGTCCCTGATTAGCACACTGCAGGCAGGACTTGGGGGTAGGCACGGAACATGAGGGCAGGGCATAGGAGCCTGACCATGAGAGAGACACAGGGCGGATGATCATACAGCTCCACCCTCTGTGCCTCGGGAGGTGACAGCACCTGCCTGGAGGTATAGTGAGGCTGATCCTGAGAAACACGGGGCCCAGGGCTAGGAGGCAGCTGCGAGCAATCAGAGCAGCCTCTGTTCCTATGCTGTCCATTCAGACACTCATGCAGCCTTGGAGCCTACCTGCTACTCATAAATCTGTCTGTGTTGCAACTTCTCCCCTCACTTATTTACCTGCCACTCAACCTTACCAACTGGTATGTGTCAAACTTGGTGGGGTAAAAAGTTAGCTATTCATTTTTGTTCATCTCCCTCCCCACCCTTACCCCTCCTGTTCTCGCTGGCTCTTAAGCAGCATGGTCATGGACTCAACCAATCCAAACCCTGCGGGGTCCTTGGCTGAATGTCCACTTGGAGCATTCAGTCAATCCATGGCTTTCATTGCTCCCCTTTCCCCTAGGACCTCAAATAGATCTACTTCTCTCTTGCCCCTCAGCTACTCCGACCTCCGGCCCAGGGGAGGGCGCTAGTCTCTTCACCCATCTCCCTCCTCCATCCTGCCCCTTACAAACCATTCTCCACTTGGACAGGGATGCAGGGAGGTGCTTTGAACAGGTAAATGATCAAGCTCCTCTGCCCAGAGTTCCCGTGGCATCTTATAAGATAGCAGGCCAGGTACCCAAGTCCCCCCACAGCACGCAGGGTGTGGTCCGGTCTCTCACTCCCTGGTGTCCCTGCACTCTCACTCCGCCCCAGCCACGCGAACCCCACCCGCTCTTCAAATGCCCCAGACTTGTCCCTCTCAGTTCTGCCCTGCTGCTCCCTCTGCTGGAATCCTCTTCTCCTCTCATTTTTTGGGGGGCCTCAACTCGAATGTTATCACTTCTGTGAGGCTTTCCCTGACCATCGAACATAAAGTAGCCTCCCTCTCACATGTCTCTGTTCCCTTCTTTTACTTTGCCTTCACAGAACTTAATCAGGACCCAAATCCCCTCTATTTTCATTCTTATTATTTTATGAGTATGTGTTCGCAATGCATAATGAAAGAATTCCTGGTGGGGAGCTGGTACATGTACATGAGGCATCTTAATCCTTGTTAGTTCCACTCTCCTCCCCTTCATTGTCTGTCTTCTTGACCAGGCTGTGAGCCCCTGGGGAGCAGACCCTTTCTTGGACATGTTTACTGCTCTGACCCCAGTGCCAGGCATAAGATGAATCCTTCCATCTTTCTTCTTCAGTTTGTATCCAGAATCCAGTCTTTTCTCATTTGACTCAGGGAAAGATGACTACTTCCAGGTGTGCATCTGCTTCCAGTGAGGCAGACGGAGCCAAGGGGGTGAAGTTTGCCCAGATTGCCACTGGCTTAGGAGCTGGCATATGACCCTGTTATGATCAGTGACTGGCACAGGGATAGGAAGGTCAAATGCCCTTGTTCTGCCTCTCTCAGGACAGTCTCATGGTGCTGCTCATATTTCTGAGTCTCATGGGTCAGGCTGGGGCTAGACTTCCCCTCAATCACACCTTTGCCTGCTGCTTCCTCTGTCATAGCCTATTTCCCTCTCCCTCAGACACTGCCCTGGAGAGGATTTCGTTCATAAATCACTTGCACAAGAATCAAAGTCTGCTTCTAGGAATCCAGTCTAAGATGGAATGCAGTGCACATTGGTGCATTCCTGAAACTGCTGCTGTCATTTTGCTGGAAAAATGAAGCCAGAACATGCTGGGGTCAGAGCTGGGAGGACCATGCCTGGAATATTCTCTTTTGGATTTCTTATTGCAGGCAAAGCCATCTATTCCCATGCTGTCTAAGCCAATCAGAGCCTGACATCTTTCATACTACAACCAAAAGCATTCTAAATGATATAAAATGCAAGAAATGAAATTGTGGATGGTCAGTGTAAGATGACTACATCAATTCAAATTTCCTAGCAGAGGAGAAAGAAAGAAAGAAAAAAGAAAGAAAGGAAGAAAGAAAAGGAAAGGAAGGAAGAAAGAAAAAGCTAGGAAAGGAAGAAAAGAAGAAAGGGAAAAGTAAATAATACACCCATGCTTTTAACACTGTTGGAATGAAGAGACTGCCTAAATTTCAAATTATCTTTTAGTAGAAAAGCAATCATCAACCTCCAGGGATCTGTTTCCCACACTCCTGCTTCACATCTTCAGGGAAAAGAAGAGGCTCCTAAGACAATCTGCAGATGAGAGGAAAGGTAGTAGCTATGGGACAGGTCTAAAATTCTGCTAGGAAGAGAAGGTAACAACACCAAAGGCGAGTCTGGGTAAATCAGAGCACTTAACTACCAGGGAAGGACAGAAAGAAGTGTGAGAAACTCAAGGTAGTGTTCTTTGTATTACTAAGGGGAGTCCTTTGAAGACTGGAGGGTTGGGGGGAAAGCCAGTAACCATTATGTCCATGAGATGTAAGAGAACAAAAATCTCAAAGAATACAATCAATTCTCCCCGCTCCACACATTAGTTTGCTACGCTGACAGAAGAGGGTTCTCTTGAGCTAGAAATTTAAAATTACCCTAAATCCACAGTAGATGACATTTATATTTTTCTGTAAGTAAAAGAAGGGGCATCTGGTGGTACAGCACCTCCCTGGCAAATCCGAGGCTCTGGGTTCGATTCCCAGTACAAAAAAAAAAAGAGGGTCATTTTAATAGATGAATGTTCCCTTGTACTTCTCAACAACAACAACAACAACAAAAACTAACAAGGACAAAGCAGAATAAAATGGTAACACAACACAACTTTCAAACACAACTAAATATCCTTAAACAAGTATTTGGGAATACGAATTTTAAAAACACCCTAACTTAGAAATTAAAAAATAAAACAGAAAGAAAAATAGGAAGAAAAAATATTTAATTAAATTTATGGGGTGTAGTGGATTGATAACTGGTGGTCAACTTATCAACCCCAGCTGAACTGAGTAAGTGTGGTGCTGGGTGTGGGAGGCCCACCTGGGGATTGTTGCCAGCAGCATAAGAGGCAGAACTGGAGAAGGAGAAAGAGGCTGTTGGGAGCTGAGAAAGGCTGTTGGAGCTGGTAGAAGCTGTTGGGAACTGTTGGTTCTTTTGGAGGAGCTCGTCATGCTGGCTTTCCACATGAACTTGGCTGTTTACATCCTCTGAGGAGCTCTGGACCTTGTTGGCATTGAGAATAGCTTCAGTTCACTTTGGGGGAGCTCTGGTCCTCACTTTGAGCATTGCTTCCTGGCTCCAGAGGGGAACATGGTGCACTGCCAGTCTCCCAGAGAAGCTTGCTGCATTGGCTTTCTTGGTGGGAACTCAGCCATCTTGATCATTGGAGGAGCTCGGGACCTTACTGTTGCTGAGGATGGCTGTGGCACCTTTCAGGGAAGCTTTGGGTCTTACTTTGAGCATTGCTTCCTGGCTCCAATGTAGATCCCTCAGCCTGCTAGCACAGATCCTTCATCCTGCTGGCATAGACTTTCTAGATTCCACCACTGACCTTTGGGCCTTCCCAGTGCAGAGTCGTGAAATAGGCCTACATGAGACGTTGTTGTGGTATCTGGGCCTCCAGTTGGATTCCTGGGAGGCATTGTTATGGGCTCTAGGTATTCAGCTGGACTCATGCAGGACATTAACATGGGATCCAGGCCCCCAGCTGGATTCCTAGTCTATAGTGTGTGGACAGATTTCCTGCACTCTTTTGTATACCATTTTTTGGATGACTATTATAAATAATCTTATAAATTATGTGTCCTGTATTATATATTGTTCCCCTCAAAAATAAACCCAAACAACACATGGGGAAAAATGCAAGATATGAAATCATCTCAGGGAAGAAAGCTAAATTACAAGTGCCCAAGAGAAAAGAGTCTAATGAAAATGAAATAAAGTACATTAAAGAAGAGCAAGAATATAACTAAAAGCATGAAAGTGAGAAACAGAAAGAACTAAAAAGAGCCAGAATTGAAATGTGAGACAGGTTGAACTATGAGATAGGTAAAGCAGCAGCAATATGTTTAGATGTATAGGTATAAATATATAATGGAATCCCTGATAAAGACAAAACAATGGAATACAACTAATATTTTAAAATTATGATTCAAGAGAAATTCCCTGAGATGAGAACACTTGATTCTCTGTGTGTTTATAAGGTCCACTGGGTACTTGGGAAAATCTGACGCATGGTCACTTGGCTCTGTTGGCTTTGGGGTTGTGGTAAGGCAGAGCATCATGGCAGGGGCATAGGACGGAACAAAACTGCTCATCTCATGGTGGTCAGGAAGCAAAGGGAGAGACAGGAAGCGGCTGGGCTCCCAATATCTCCTCCAGGGGCTCAGCCCCAATGGTATCACTTCCTTCTGCAAGGCCCCATCTCACAAAGGCTATAACCTTCTAGCTGTGCCATGGGCTGTGCACTGACTCTTTTTCATATAGGACTTTGGAAGACATTTCAGATTCAAACTATAGCACTGCTATATGGAGAGGACAAATGGAAGTTTTAAAATAAAGGCTGCAGAAACAACTGATTGTTGTTTGGACAAAGATAAAAATTAGACCCCTACCACACATAAGGATTAATCAAGGAAATATATGCAAAAAACTGAAGCCAAGTACACAATTGAAGAAAACTTTGATTTAAAGAAAAACTTCTCAATTATGACTCAAAATCCAAGTGCAATTGAAGAGAAGATTAATAAAACCATCTAAATGTTTATATTGCATTGCCGAATCACCATAAAAATTCAAAACACAACTAACACATCGGGAGAAGATATTTATGACATATATCACAGATAAAGAGCCCTAATATATAAAGAATTTTTCAAAACTGGACAGAAAAAGTCCAAAACCCCAAGAGATGAAAAAGTGAGCAAAAGGCAAAATATAAAAAATTATCCTTGGGGCTGGGGATTTAGCTCAGCGGCAAAAGCGCCTGCCTGGCAAGTGCAAGGTCGTGAGTTCGGTTCCGGTACCGGAGAAAAACCAAAACAAACAAACAAACAAACAAACAAAAATTATCCTTCATTATATGAAAAGATGGAAAAGATATTCCACTTCACTTACAATAAGATCAAATTAAAACTATGCTGAGATATAATTTCTTACCTTTCAGACTGGTAAATGGTAATACAGTATTCTAACACACCTTGGTAAGGCAGTGAGGAAACAGGAACTCTCACACACGGCTGGTGGACATGCAAAATAATACAAGCCTTGCAGAGAGACATTTGGGGATACTTTAAAAACTACATATGCACTTGTCTTTGTATTTAGCAACATCACTTGTAAGACTCTACCTAAAAGCTACACCTCAGTTTGAACATACGAATGCACAGGATTATTCATTGCACTATTGTTTATAATTTTAGAATAGTGAAAATGACCTAACTGTCCATTTATTAGAGAAAGATTGAATAGACTATGGCAGTGGTAGCAAATCTATGGCATGCATACCGCAGTGGGCATGCACCTCTGTTGGTGCAGAAGCCAAGTTGACCCAACATCACCCCAGCAGCCAAGCATCAGTGCATATAGGGGCCATGTGCATGCTTGGAAAAGGGGAGCAGCGCCAGCTGTTTTTATCATTGACAACTCTTTATTGCGTTTTATTTTATGACAAAATATGTTAATGTATGAGTTATTTTTTCTAAACTAAAACCTCAGTATTCAGGTTTAATTGCAGTGTCGGCATTTTGTAATAAATAAGTGGGTTTGGGGACTCGGTCTGTAAAAGATTTGCCATCACTGGACTATGGCAATCCACACAATGGATTACTCTGCAGTTGTAAAAGGGAATGAAGGAAATTTCAATGAACCAATGTTATGGTTTAGGTCCAGATGTATCCCCAAATCCTTACTCAGTCGTAGGTGGGGCTTTTTCAGAAGTGGCTGAATCTAGAGTATGTGATGCTGGGATGAAGGTGTCATTACTAAATCAGTTCACTGGTTTGGCACCGCCTTAATCCCAGTAGCCTGGATACTATATAAGGGACAGAAAGAGGCTTGTTTTCTCCCTTGCTTGCTTACTTTTGCTGTCTTCTGCTTGGCATGAACTGTTTTTCCTCTGTGATTTCCCTCCACCAAGACACCCTGCCTTGGAGCCAGCTGATTATGGACTAAAGCTTCTACAAGCAGTGAGCTAAATAAATCTTTCCTTCCTTAACTTGTGGGTGTTGGGCATTTTGTCACAGCAATGAGAAAAGTAACTAGGACAACTGGTAAGGATTGATTTCCAGGATATACTATAAATGAGCAGAATGGGAATGCACAAGACTTTCTACATAGTGACATAAATACACACACACACACACACACACACACACACGCACATATCATGGTACTTTACATAAAAAAGGAATTATAAGAAAATTTTAAAAATCTAAAATATCTGTGTCTACTCATATGTACAATAAGAAATACATAAGTGATAAACCAGAAACTAGTATTACTGGTAACCTATAGGCTCATGGTAGAACAGTGTGGAAAAGATAAAGAATGTAAACAGAATAAAGTGAATGGAGTATGGAGTGACAGATCACTGAATGTCTCTGTTTGAATAATATATATTTTGAATAGTGTATATATACAAAAAGGGGGACTATTACAGAGTAATGCTTGTATATATAATTGTCTATATAAGTAATATGTGTAATGCATATCACATATATATTTAATATATTTTTATATATGGGAAACAAATTAACAAAATTGTATTTTATAAAGTGAAGAGCATGTTCTACTGAAAAGTGTAGGAATAACCAAGTCAAGTAACCTTTGCATGTAGTATTTGTGCTATATGCCCCCAGGTTAAAGAGAAAGAATATTAAGCAAAGACACTAAAGAGCTACTTAGAATTTTTCTTCTAAAAG